GATCATGTGTCATAGAAATGTATACTTGAAACCTATATAATCTTATTAACCAGTGTCACCCAATAAATTTCATTAAAATAAATAAAATCCACTTAAATATAAAATCAGTAGGATATGTTGGAAATAGTAGACTAGGAATAATAAAGAGACCCTACTGTCTTTTATTGAATTTGTAACTGTCAGTTTAGTTCATCTTTTGGAGCTGAAGTTTTGCTACTAGTTTAGTGTTGCCAATACCTGCCTTGCCTAGTTCAGACTTTCTCAGGATTAATTGAGATGATGTAGGTAACAGCACATTGATATTTTTAAATGTTCTATAAATAGTTTTATTATCCTGAACGTTTGTTTCTAGAGTATTCTGCACTAACTGTCCTGGGCAAATGGTTCCCAAATCTGGTGGAGCATCAGAGAATCCATTAAAGATTTTTTAGAATTATGCTTGGGTCCCACCTACTAGATCAGTATCCTGAGGCTGAGACCTACAACTCTACTTCTTTTCTTATTATTGTTAATCCTCACCCGAGGACATTTTCCATTGATTTTTATAGAGAGTGGGAGGGAGTGGGAAAGACAGAGAGAAACATCAATGTGAGAGAGACATCAATTGGTTGCCTCCCGCCTGGGGCCAGGGATAGAGTCTGCAACTGAGATACCTGCCTTTGACCCAGAATCCACCCTTCGACCCTTGAGTCTGCTGGCCAGTGCTCTATCCACTGAGCCAAACTGGCTAGGGCAACTTTACTTTTTACTTTTAACTAATTTCAGACTCTCAAAGACAGATCCGAGCTCCCCTAGGCTCTTTACAACTAGCTTCCTCAAATGCTGACATTATATGTAACCAAGGCATAATGATCAAAACCTGGCGATAAACACTTATGCAATCCTATTAATTTATTTATAGACCTCATGCAAATTTTGTCAGTTCTGGGTTTTTTTGGTCACCATCCAATTCAGAATCCTACATTTTATTTTGTTGTCATGTCTCCTTACACTACTCAAATTTGGGATAATTCTTCCATCTTTTTTGACATTTTCTATTTTTGAAGCATACTGGCCAATTATTTTGTAGGATGTCTCACAATTTAAGCCTTTCTGGTGTTTTCTCACTAGGAATCTGTATTTTTAATAGACACCCTTCTAATAAAGCCTGCCTCACACATTTAGGAATTACTGATCAATAACAACCTAATTTTTGTTCTCCTTTGAGGTATCATCTATATGCCATTTTAGAGGGCATATGTAAAAATTTTAGACTTTGACACATTTAGTAGGAAACTACTATAATCTGACTGATCTCTTGTAAAGTTAGGATGTGAAAAAGATTTTTTCATGGGTTAAGAATGACTAATGAGTTTATAAAATAATATACTATTTCAAACCTATATAATAATATTGAAAGAAAATGCAGTATATAGAAAACAAAATTATCTTTTTTTGTTTAAAGAACATTTTTAAGATAATTCATATAGTGAAGGTTTATCTAAGATATGGGAAACAATTGCATCTAACCTACCACTTTCTACCAAATGAATGGGTATTCAAGATTGATTTGGCAGCACTTATTGGTAATTTTCATTTAATTATTCCATACCACTAGAAACAGTGTAACCTCTTCATAGTCATTTATAAATACAAAAAATGCTAATATCTCTGCTTCTGATTTCATTAAGGTTTTTATTCACTGGGAAGTGAGTTTTAACGAAGCCACATAGATACTGTATCAGAATATGTATTTTACATAATTCCTTTAGCTTACCCAACACTGAGAAAATACTGTAAAGCAGCGGTTCTCAACCTGTGGGTCACGACCCCTTTGGGGGTCGAACGACCCTTTCACAGGGGTCGCCTAAATACATCCTGCGTATCAGATACGATTCATAACAGTAGCAAAATTACAGTTATGAAGTAGCAACGAAAATAATTTTATGGTTGGGGGTCACCACAACATGAGGAACTGTATTAAAGGGTTGCGGCATTAGGAAGGTTGAGAACCACTGCCTTAGACATTAGGAGTCTTAGGCTTTGGAGTGAGGTATTTCTATCTCTATTCTTACTATCAGTGTGACTTTGAAAAAATTATTTGACTTTTTTAAACCTCAATTTTCTCCTCTTATAAAATAACTAGAGGCCCAGTGCATGGATTTGTGCACTGGTGGGGTCCCTCAGCCTGGCCTGCCCCCTCTCACAACCCGGGACCCCTTGGGGGATGTCGGACTGCTGGTTTCGGCCCAATCCCCACAGGCCAGGCTGAGGGACCCCACCGGTGCATGAATCCATGCACGGGGCCTCTAGTATGCATGTAAGATCTTTGGTTAATCTCTTCCTGACCTCCCACTTCCCTCCTTTCCTATGAGATTCATCAGTCTGTTCCATGTTTCCATGTCTGTGCGTTGAGCGTCTGCCCCCTGGTGGTCAGTGCGCATCATAGCTAACAGCCAAACAGTCACTTAGGCTTTTATATATATAGCTAGTATTTACCTTTACCTCTCAGAGTTGTAGGAACATCAAGTGAGATAATGTCTATAAAGTTTAGATTATAGTGGTGTGAGACATGAAACTGAAACAGTCAGTATAGGCAACTTTTTTGAGAACTGGATAAGAAGAAGGAAGAACAAGATCATGTGCTATCTAATAATAGATATAACTGCAAGGGAGATTTTTATTTTAAAAAGGAAACCAGAGTAGGAAAAGGGACCTGAAGAGGGAGGAAAAGCCCAATGAAAGTGTGAGAGGGAATGCAGTATAACTGTGGTTGGTTCCTTAATGTTTTTTTTTTATATATATAATATCTTTTTGTACTTTTATTTTCTGGTTCCAACATGAATTGTGTTTTTGCTCTTATTTACCAGAAGAGTGCAGGTGAGCTACCAACTAAGAATTAATCATTATCCTGTTGAAGGTAATCATTACACCAATACAACAGTAACCTGCAAATATATCATTCTAGAATCTTTTCTCGCTTTACATCTAGTCAGTAATCAAATCCTACCAGTTCTGCTTCCAGAATTTAAAATTGTGTCTTTTTCACCACATCACCATGACCCTATCTTGCACTCTTCATCACTCACTTGAATTGTCATTTGCCTTATCACTGGTTTCCGTGCCTTGCATTTCACTTCCTTCTGGTTGCATTGCTCTCTTATTTAAAATTCTTTCCTTCCCCCAATTTTATTGAAATATAATTGGCATATAACTTTGTATTAGTTTAAGATGTACAACATGACTTGATATATGTGTATATTCTGAAATTATTACTATAATAAGTTTAGGTAACGTATCACAGTCATGAATTTTTTTGTGACTTGTGATGAAAACTTTTAAGCTTTACTGTCTTAGCAAGTTTCAAATACACAATACAGTATTGTTGACTATAGTTTCATCCCCAGAACTTACCCATTTAAAATCTCATATTTTTCACTTTCTCTTTTTTTGCATTAATTTGTAGCTATCTTAGTGCCATTTGTTGTTAGTGGTGAACATGACATTGTTTTTATTATTATGTTTTTATTGATTTTAGAGGGAGAGGGAGAGAGAGATAGAAATGTCAATGAGAGAGAAACACCCATGGGCTGCCTCCTGCACCTCCCTACCCCCCTATACTGGGGATCAAGCCCGAAAGCCTGGCATGTGCCCTAACCAGAATTGAGCTAGTGACCTCGGTGCACAGAATGATATTCAACCAAATGAGCCACACCAGCCAGGCAGTGACACATTGTTTTTAAATTCCTGCCCTATAAAAGCTGGCCTCCAAGTAAAATGTTGACTCCTTGCATGTCATACAAGGCTTCCTGTGACCTTTGTAGATGACCATCTCTCTGGTTCTTCCCCTTGTAGTACTCTGTGTATTCCAGACATGATCTTATCACTGCATATTCTCATTCTTCTGTGGTATCCCCCTACCTAGACTGTACCCTACCGCCTTTTTTACTACCTGTTGAACTCCCTTTCATCATTCAAATCTCGGACTTCACCTTTTCTCTAAAGTATCCTTTACTCTTCAATAAACATAAGTAGTTCTTCCTTTCTATTCACATGGTATCCAGTACTAAGTTCTATATTAGCATTTTAACTGTGATCATATTCCAACAATATTTTAAGGTTAGGAACTGTGTCCACTTTCTCTTCAAATCCTAGAACCTAGGAAAATGCCTGGACTATAATAATTTCATGTGGTGATCATTAGTTGAGAAATTACTATGTGTCAAGAGGTAACATGCATTACCCACTTAATTCTCAACAATAGAGGTAGCTGTTATAATATCCCTATTTTCTAGGCAAGGAAACGAAGGCCAAACAAGATCAAATAATTTGCCCAGTCTAATAGGTAAACGGTGGAATCACATTTAAAGTCTTTGGTCGTATGATTTCAAACTTCATGCTTTTAACCTCCAAGTTGTCCCACATTAGTAAATAATCTTTGAAAAATTCTGGGTTTTTTATGTTTTATCTAAAATAGAATTTTCCTGATTAGCAGTTAGCATGGTTTGTGAGTAACATGGTCCTTTGGGATCATGTCCTTCCATCTGTTGAACCAGATTAAGAAATTAGGAAGGAAATGTGGGAGGTCTGTACTTCTACCTTTGATCAGGGTCAGGAAATGAAAAAATCATTTTCATTTTAGACATTTATATTTCATGTGCATGTGTAAACATCAATATACATACACACATATATATACAAGATAACAAAATAAATGAATTATTTTAAGTACTAAATACAGTTATATGAACTGACATTTTCCTGTGAAAAATAATCTTGAGCCTAAGTAACAAGTGATACAACTTGCTTTGAAGCACATTAACTAAATATTAATTTGTGTTTGCTCCAGTAGAATTCAGTATTTGTGTTGAGAATGTTGTGGGTTTCGTGATAATTAGTATCTTTGGTTGAACATTCAAGTGATATAAAATGGCATAAAGCTTATCATGGCAATCTTAACTTGACCCAAAATGAAAAAATATAAAAAGATCTTACTGTGTACTCTTTTCCTGTTGAAACAGCAAACTCATTATTACATTGGGTAAGAAACAAAAAAGAAAGAATGAGTCTTCAGATGAAATATCTGATGCAGAGCAGATGCCACAGCGTGCATGCAAAGAGGAAGACTCTCAAGTGAGTATTAAATTGTTTTCTGAGACATGAAGCACTGGTAGAATTATGTAGATAGCATAATATTACTTTGCAGATATTTATACTGTAGCTTAGTAGTAAAAATACATTTTATTGTATAGCAGAACTTACCTGACAGCATGACTACAGTATGCTCCTAGCAGTATTACCGTAGAATGTTAGGCCCGGGGGGAAACTTACATGTCCTCTCAAGCCCCTCATTTTTCAGATAATGAAATTGAAGCCCAGAGAGGTTAAGTAATAATCCAAAGTCCCCGCTGGTTTGAGCCTGGAGAAGTATCTAGTGATATTCTGTACTTCCAGAGTCCTTTTGAATGAACTTAATGATGGAGATATTAATTTTTAAAATCACCTACAAATGATAAAGCAAATGGATGGAATCATTCCTAGATATAATTTCTTTGCTCTGCTTCTGTCAAAGAAAAATATAAACATTTATATTAAAAATCCCCTGATGTAGACAAAAATACTGTGCTTTTTGCCCTTTTTTGGGGAATAGGTGGATATTTAAAATAACCTTGTGAAGTTAACAAATATATAGTGAAGGTCATAATAATTCAGGCCACCCTCTGCCCTCTAATAATTAAAGTATAACTATAGGCCGTAGGGGTGGTGGCAGTTGTTGAATTATGGGGCCAGAAAGCCCCTGAATGGCCTTTCTTCTTCCTTATGCAGCTTCTTATCCAATGGGAGAGTAGTGGCTCAAGGCTCCTGGGCTGCTGCAAGAGTTGAGGTAAGGGCAGTGACTGAAGCTCCTAATATTACATGGCCTGGCTTTTTCTTCATATGTTATCTTTAACTTAGGTAAACTTATTATTAACTTAGTCAACATGAGAAAATTTACTTTAATTTTTACTAGAATAATGCTGGCCATTTTTCCATTATGTAATTACCAAGCATTGAAATGGTAGAATAGGTTTACACACACATTTCTTCCATACCTTTCACTATAGTGTTAGTTTGCTTTGATTCGTGTTACTTTAACACACACATAAAAAAATTAAGTGGGAAAGGAAGGAAATATTTTCTAATAAACACTTACAAATCTATATTATTGATATATGTAAAGGTATCATTATATAAATGATGGAGAGGTCCATGTAGCTTTCAACCACAGTGGATTTGAAGGCTTGAAAAATAATTTAAGTTTACAGTTTGGGGTCAGATGGAAATCTAAAAATATAAATATGATATTTAATTTAGTATCTTTAATCTCAATAGAGAGTACTTCAGTAGTCTGACTATATTTAGATTTAACTTTTTAAAAAGCCCTGAGTAGATTTTATTAGGATTATGATAGGAAACAAGTAATATGTTGTCATAATGAACTATTTATTAGTCATTTAGAAGCATAATGTCCCTGACCTCTTTTGTAAATACTAGACTGATCTGTTGTAGCCCTTAAGACATAAGAAGAAAAAAGCTTGGAAAAAAATCTAAAAAAAGAATTTGTCACTATTTCAAATTATGGTTTGAAAACCATTATGGAGGAAGAAAGCCAGAAAAATCACATTAGCAAAAAATGTAGACATCAAATTAGTATTTATATTTTAAAAGTAGTACAGATATTATATGACAGAGAAAGATAATTGATGAGAGTGAGACATTGTTTGGATTTGCCTAATGTGTAACTATATAACCTAGTATAATTTATGATAAGATCAGCTATAATCTTATAACTCACACAAAATCTTTTAGACTAACAAAGTCTTCATAGGATTAGAGAGCACTTGACAATAAGTGACCCTCATTCTGTCTTGGGAAGAATTACCTGAATGTGCACTTTTGTTAGTTCAAAGGATTCTTTCATGTCACTCATTTACTGTTTACTAAAGACTAAAAGTGAGGCATTTCAAAGTACTAATAGATGCATAAGTGACTAGAAAGGAAACTAATGCTGAAAATACCTAACAGAACCTTCTAAAAGTATACTGAATTATTCTCAAACTTTGTTAATTAGAAGATTTGTGCCTAGTGAGACATAACATTGATGGTACATGTTATTGTTAGAATAATAGATGTCGCTGTTGGTTATTAATTTAAACTATTCTTGAACATTAAGAACTGTGTGATGCCCATAATAGAAATCGAAACATTCCTTTAGCCTGCTATTAAATTAGAGATCCTTAGGATTTCCCCCCACCAGGGGATAATATTTCATATCTTTCACAACAGCATGTGGGAAAATTGGGTTTTTAGAAGTTCTTTTATAATTTTTATGTGCCACCTTCCTGTCTCTAATATTAACAAAAGAGGCACCCTGAGTTTTGAAATGTAAATGTCCTCTTGGCCAGGAGATGGTGGCCTAGAATTGTCTACTGCATTTGGCTGAGCTAAATCAACATGTTGGTTGCTCTTTCTCTAAATATAGCACTAGTCTCAGGAGAAAGAGGCAGAGGCACGTTCAAAGCCACTGCAGCCTTCTGGTTATAGATAAGTTTGTCCCTGCCCTGCTCATGATCCAGCCATTTTTGTCATGGCTCTGGGAATATGAAAGACCTACCAAATTGAAGACATTGTCAGAAATCAAAAGGAAAACACATGAGTTATTTGCTGGTTAGATTTTAGGAGGAGTATCATGGGAGTTACTCAATATGCAAAAGAAAATGGAATAGAAAAAGGAAGAATGGATAGATTTACCAAATATTGAGCCCTAGAACAGTTAGCTGAGATACCTCCACCCACGAGATTTTAGGGAGGTGAAAAAAAAAAACTAAGTCCTTTGGGATTTTCTTGTCATTGTGAGTTTGTTTTTATAGTGGGAACACCAAATATTAGATATTTAGGGAGGTAAGTAAAGCCATGTGTATTTGATATCTAATTTAAAATTACTTAGGTTACTTAAAAATTATGTTACTACGTGTAATACTTTTTTGTAGGTTTATTTCGGTTTTTATGATAGTGATGTTCTTTATTTTTAAGGAAAGGTAGTAAAATTAGTAAAACACTGGTTCCTCCTTCATTTATACATTTAATTATTTCATTGATTTACTACTTTATTTTGCATATTTCTTATCAAATATTTTATATTATTTTGTTTTATTCTGTTTTAAATGCAACTTCATTAGTTTCATGGCAAATATTATTTAATTTCTTCTTCTAGTTTTATGTCCCTGATTAGTTATTTAATTTAATATTCATCTGATGCAATTTTTAGGTTTTGGGCAAGTCTACGAAGGTATTAGTTTAAAATATGTGTTGCCCGAGGTGCGAAATAGTTAAATAAATCAGATACCTTTTACTCTTCTTAATAGTTTCTAAAGAAAAGTAATAACATAATTACTAATTACTAATAAAATATATTTTGCCCAAGCTGTGACAGCTAACTAAAACAAAATCTTTTCATTCTTAACAATCTCTAAAGAAAAGAAATAAAGGTCTTACTAATCTTTGTTATTTGAAACTTTAGGAAATAAATCTGAAGATTGTAAGCCTGTGGCAAAGGGCAAATGATAAAAAAGGAGAAATGAGGGAAAATTAATGTAGCATACAATTTTGAAAATTCAATGTACAAAACTGCCACACTGAAGTAATTATTTTAAAATCTTTTCTTTAAAATAAGTCATATAAATATGACCCTTATGGTTCATTACAGAAAAGAAGATCAAATCGACAAATTAAAAGGAAAAAGTACGCAGAAGATGGAGAGGGGAAACAATCTGAGGAAGAGGTTAAAGGTTCTATGAAAATAAAAAAGAATTCAGCTCCTTTACCTGGGGAACAGCCTTTACAGTTATTTGTGGTAAGATACATTTAGGGTTATGATTACAAGACACTTTAAACCAACATAAATTCTTAAAATACGTATTATGTTTTCTCCTAAAAGCTGCTCCAACTTCTCCTCCTGGATTCTTTATTGTAGTTAATAGAACCTTTAATCGTTCAAATTTGGGACTCATGCACCTCCCAAATATATAATCTTTTTAAAATTTTTAAAAATTTTTATTGAATTCAGAGAGGACAGGAGAGGGAGAGATAGAAACATCAATAAAGAGAGAGAATCATTGATTGGCTGCATCTTGCACGCCCCCTACTGGGGATCGAGCCCACAACGCTGGCATGTGCCCTCAACTGGAATGGAACCTGGGACTCTTCAGTCTGCAGGCTGACGCTCTATCCACTGAGCCAAACCAGCTAGGACCCAAATATGTATTCTTGAAACTTCTCTAATCTCTGTCTTTTCTGAAGACTATTTCTAAGTTAGAAGCCTGGTTATAGTACATTTCTACTGAAAATTCTAGCAGTTTCCCAGTCTTAAAAAAATAACTGCCTTCTCAACACAGCATGTGAAATGCTTTGTATGGCTGTTTTGGCCTTACCTTTTGCCACTTCTTTAAAAGCAGTCTATCCACTGGATTTATGAACATAGTGCCCAAAGACTCTGTTTGACATCTCTGTCATTGCATATGAATTTTCCTTTCGGTTTAATTTTTTAATCTCTGCTCTAGATTGTGAGCAACCACGATCTGCTAGCTCACTGATCTGGCACCGTGGGCAAGTACTCACCTTCTCTCTGCCCGAGTTTCCCAACCTGTAAAGCAGAGATGATAATAGTGTCTACCTCACAGTGTAGTTGCAAGAATTAAATTAATATATGCAGAGTGCTTAAAATAATGCCTATTACAGAAAAAAAGCATAATATGTTCACTTTGATATTATAGATGAGGTTGAGAACAGTAACAACAACGATTTACTTTTCTGTTTTTTCAGTTCTAACACTTGATGCCTGGCACAGGTGTTGCATATATATTTGTTGAACTTTCATGTGTTCATAAACATACAAGGTAAAACCTAAAGGAATTTGCAGAATGTGCAATTATATTTTTCATCCTTCCTACAGGAGAATCCAAGTGAAGAAGATGCAGCAATTGTGGACAAAATATTATCTTCGAGAATTGTGAAAAAGGAAGTAAGTGGTGGCACATTACATTTTATACTTTATATTCAATGGTCTGGTAATAAAAGTCATAATTACTGATTTTATTTTCTTAGATATCACCTGGAGTGATGATTGATACAGAAGAATTTTTTGTAAAATACAAGAATTAGTAAGTATTTCAGTTAGAAAAATAATGGAAAGATGTTGATTAATATATTTAACTATATTAAGTTCAATTTATTTTATCTGCATGTTAAATGTTTTATTATTTATTATTTCATGAAGTTGAACATCATTAAAAATGAGAAGACAACCTTTCATGTTAAGATTGAATTTTTTTCCGAATATCAAAACGCAGGAATCTATAAAATACACTTTTACAAATTATAGAACATTATTTATTATATTTGTATTTTTGAACTTTTCAAAATTTTATTCAGCTTTTTTCTATACTTTGGTGAAAGAAAATGATTTAAATAAGGTTACATTAACTTCAAAACAAATTAGCTTTCTGATCATGGCAAAACTATTACAATGAAGAAATAAACAATAAATCATATCTTGTTACCCTATGATGTAGTGTACCATTCTGTTATTAGCAAATTGCAAACCTTAGACTACAATCTTTTTAGGATATTGTGATCTCATGGCTCTTGACATTAAATGAAATGATGAATGAACTACCTATTTGTAAAGTGGAAGATAATATTTTGCATTGAATACTATGATTAAAAATAAGTTTAAAACAAAACAAAGCAAGGTTTTCTATATTCTAATATGTTGCCTTTATAAATATTGTAGCTCCTATCTTCACTGTGAATGGGCCACAGAACAGCAGCTTTTGAAAGATAAAAGGATCCAGCAGAAAATCAAACGATTCAAATTGAGACAAGCACAAAGAGCACATTTTTTTGCAGACGTAAGAAAAAATAAATAAATGAGACTATTATGTGTTGAACTCTGAACATGTAGTATTTTTTATCAAAATTTTAAGTATTATTCATATTATTTCTTAGGTCTTAAACTTTAATGTTGACTACAAATGCTATCCATATGTACTATTTTTCTTTTCCCAAATTTAGCTTGGAAACTATTTGAAGCAGGAACACTGGTAATTCAGAATATAGATACATCCTGTATTGTTAAATTAGCATGTATTTCAATACTTAGAGTTGAAAGTGAGTGTGTTAACATCTCAGAATTTAACAAGTTAGTCAAGTAATGGAACTGGTGTTATAGCAAATAAGTGGAAAATAAGATTTTTCCTGAAATATATTTCATATATTTTATACCAGCTTTCTATGTGTGAACAGATAATTGGAAAAATTCACTTACCTTTCTAGGCTTTACTAAATAGTCTGATGTCCTTTCCTGCTCTAAATTATTTTTCTTTTAATAGACTTTTTTTTCAGAACAGTTTTAAATTCATCTAATTTTTTTAGGCCCTCCAAGTAGCTCAGATGTTCATACCAATATGCCAAGGCTGGCTCTCCTGTCAGGACACATACAAGAAGCATTCAATGAACGCATAAATAAGTGGAACAACAAATCCATGTTTCTCTCTCTCTCTCTTTCTCTCTCAGATCAAGAAATAAATTTAAAACTTTTTAATTTGAAACTTTTTTAGACTTTATTTTGAGCAATGAAAATGAAGTTGCAAGAATTATACAATGAATTCCCACATATATTTAAAAAATATTTTTTATTGATTTCAGAGAAGAAGGGTGGGGGGAGAGAGATATGAATGATGAGGTTCACTGATTGGCTACCTCCTACACGCTCTCCACAGGGGTGGTCTTTAACTGTTGGAGCTGAGGAAAGTGGCAAAAAGAGGTACAGAGGCTGCTTTAAGGGAATTTTTAAGGAAGTTTTCTAGAGTAACTTCCTAGTCTGGAATACCTTATTTATTAGTGCTATTTGGTTAGTTTTATGATATAGATTATAATGATTCATAATATAGACAAATTTTCTAGATATCTGTTGGAAATTAAAATGGAAGTATTCCAGTAATTGGAAATTTAATTGAAATCAAATTTATGTGTTTGTTCTATAATGGATAACTAGTATATTTGTGTTTATTTCACTTTTATCTTTCTACTTCTTTGTCAAATATTGTAACTTTTATTTATTTTTATTTATCTTTATTGTTGAAAGTATTACAGATGTCCCTGTTTACCCCCCCAAAAAAATATTGTTACTTTTAAATTTTAGATGGAAGAAGAACCATTTAACCCAGACTACGTTGAAGTAGACAGAGTGTTAGAAGTCTCTTTTTGTGAGGATAAAGATACTGGTGAGGTAAATATTTGGCAAAAAGTTTTTTAACTAAGTAAAAAGTCCTAAAACTTTTCAGTGTTAAAGTTAACCATCTAAAAACACAAAAAAATGTTTCATCAGTTTTTATTGATGTTGGTTAATATATTAAGCTATTTATTCTTTTTCAAAATGGTAAAATAGAAAAATGTTTCTTCCAGCCCGTCATTTACTACTTAGTAAAGTGGTGCTCATTACCATATGAAGATAGCACCTGGGAACTAAAAGAAGATGTAGATCTTGCAAAAATAGTAGAGTTTGAACAATTGCAATCTTCAAGACCTGACACAAGACATTTGGTAAGAACATATATTACACAACTTCATAAACTCTTAGCACATCTTTATTCAGGTGGTTTAATGTTATCTTTGAATTTTTAATTTAGTCCTGGGTATACAATTAATACTGTATTTAAAAATGCTACATCACTACATGTTTGTTAATTTAGTTACTCCTCCATTAGTGGATATTTGAGTGTTTGCTATTATAAACAGTGCTACATTGAATAGTGAGCCCCTGTACAAGTTCATGTAAGACAATCCAAAATTGTAATTCTTTGGCCAGAGCAAATGTGTATCTAACATTTTGATGAGTATTTCCTTCCGCAGTTCTCTCTTGAAAAGTTTTGAATGTGTCTACCTCATCTGTGAATTTTAGATCTTCATACTACTATTTCTCTCAGGTCATTTATAAAAATATTATGAATACCAGTTTCAGCTCTAAGTGGAGTTATTGATTTTCTACTATTGTCTATGAGATGTAGGGAAATGAAAAAATCTGAGATATATCATTCATTCTTTGTTTTTTCCACTAAGGAACGTCCTCCCTCTAATATTTGGAAAAAAATAGATCAATCCAGGGACTATAAAAATGGTAATCAACTCAGGGAATATCAACTGGAAGGACTCAACTGGCTTTTGTTCAATTGGTACAATAGGTATGTAGTATATCTTAGCAGAAAAAATTTAAATTTTTTTATATGTGTGAAAATATGTTAAGTAAAATTGGTACTGATGTTTTATTATTATTATTATCATTATTATTATTATTGAGTCTTCATTATTGAAAGTAAAGTTACCTCAAGAAGATAATTTAATTTGTAATTTAGGATTTTGATTACAATTGCTTTCTTTAAATATATATCAATCAGAGTAGAATACAGTTGATATGTTGATTAGTAATCAAATTTAAAATATGTTTCTTAACATAAAACATCTCTTAGGGAATGTTTTTCAACTTATTAGCCTATACTACTGTTGAAGTTGTTCAAAATGCTTTATTGAACATTATCTCACTTTTTAAATTGAGATGAAAAGATAGTTACAAAGAAGTAAAAATTGTACCATGATTGAGAGAAATGTATAATAGTGTATACAAAGGAGCAGATGAAAGCATTATTAGTAGTAACAGTATCAAAATTTGATTCAGAATTATCTTTTTGGCTTTTACTTCTCACATGATTCTTCTGAGAGGTTACACTTGGTAATGGTGAGTCATAAGACTCAGTTGATGAAGATCATGCAATGCTCTTTCCCCCCTGGTTTATATTTTATACATATTTATCATATTCCTCAAGAGAACCTTCCAGATAAAATAGTAAAATGTTTTTTACTATTCTTCCCTTATCCATACCCTTTCCCATGATCTAAATTGCTTGTTTTAAACACAAACCACTTAAGACTTTTATCACAACCCTGCCTGCCCCCTTTACTCTCTATATGTGAGTGCTTCATAGAGAAGTGTAGGGCCAGCCAGTAAGTAAACTCATTCAAATCCTCGTTTGCCTCGCAAGCCTACAAATGTATCTCCATCTATGGCTATTCTTACTTCTACCTGCATGTATCAGAAGTTACCAGTTCCTGCCCCAGGACCAAGACTAATGCTACCACCTCAATTCTTGACATGCATCTCATCCAGGCTTCTCAGACCTCCCTTCACTCTTCTATTTTCAAGCCATCGCTGAAACCAGTGTCAGTCCTTCAGTCTGTGAACCAGTTTGGGTTTAACCTATATAAAAATGCTGAAGGATAAAACATCTCTTGGCTCTGTTTCTCCTGTTAGCTACCTTGAGTGAATTTCTAGGAAGAGGAGCTGTGCAAGCTCTTCCCATGTCTTCCTCTCCGGTTCTCCTGAAACCTGCTCTCTGGGTTTTGATTCTGTATCATCTCTGAAACTTTTCCAATCCACAACATACATCTCAGCCTTAATTTGCTGCCTTTGCTGCATTGGATAGTAGTTGCTACTTTCCCCCCATTCTCACTGCCAAAAGCTTCCACATTATGACTCTCTGCTAGACCCCCAGCACCTCTGTGACTGTCCCTTTCAGTAGTTTTTGCTGTTTTTTTTTATTTTTTTCATCTGCCTGCCCTTTCAGTGTTGATTTTTCTTGCCCAAAACTCTGCCTTTTTCTCTCTTCTCTTCTTCCATTTTTGTTCCCCCTAAGCCATATTCTGCACCCCTGTCTGCCTTCACATATCAATAACACTAATGATCTCACACTTACCTCTAAGTAACGCTTGAACTTCAAATCCATATTTCTTTTTACTTCTTGCTACCTTAATGTCTCTCTCAATGAGTCTTTAAACTCAACAGATTCAAAATTAATCTTGTCATTTCCTGTTTCCTCCATACCAAATTTATTCTCCCATATTTTATATCTCAGTTAAGAATAATGAAATTCATTTAGTCACCCAAACTAAAAGAAATCTGACTGTCATTCTACACCCTGTATACTTGGTTGGTCACTAGGTCCAAATCATTCTAACTCATAATTAACGTTGGAATCAGTTCTCTTCTGAGTCCCTCTTCCCTTAGTCCACGTGTCCTCCCATTCTTTCCTGCATTATTGCAGGACTTTTTCAATTAGCTTCCAAATTTCTAGTCATCTCATCTTCTAATATCCGCAGTGGCTTTGGAGCAAACTTCAAAATAAAAACCTGACCTCATCAGGTTTTTAAATTTTTTTCAAATTATTGGAATAATGTCTAACTTTCTTTATATATGCCTCCTGCTTATCTTAATATCCGCTACCTTCACCCTTCTCTCAAAACCGCAGTTGTATAACTTGTGGTCCCACAGTGGATCATGTTCTTCCCACTGTGCTCCTTGGCTGTGCTCTCTGGCAAACACTGACCTCCCCTCTCAAAGCAGTCTTCTCGTCTCGGATGTCTTCTCGCCAGAAGTGGACGTTTACTTCTCTGAGCTTTCATAATGAACTTAATACTGACGATTCTTAACCAGTCACGTATCATAATCATCTGTGGAGTTTATTTAAAAATTATAGCTGCTTGTATTCTGTCCCATACACCTTGACTCACAGAATGTGTAGGGGAGGGCCCTGGGTGTCTGGGTTTCTTTCAAGCATTGTAGGCTCTCTTAATGTACAGCCAGCGTTGAAACCCGGTGCTGTATTTGTTCTTCTGTGATAGCACATTGCATGACTACTTATTTGTTTATTTGCATGTCTGCTTCTCTAATAGATACAAGCCCCTGGAAGGCAGAGAACATGTTCTATTTCTTTTGTATCCCATCTTCTCATACTGTCCCTGAGATATAGAAGGTATTTAAAAAATGCTTCCTGAATAAAATATTTAGTCTGCCTTGCGCTTGCCATTTCACTCTAAAAAAAAACATCTATCGGGTGGTATCTTTATTTTGGAGCTACAAAAATGTTTTCTCATTGCAGGGTTATAATAAAATTGTAATCTTTAACCTACTCTGCACTTCAGCAACTTTTACATTTTTATAAATGCGAGCATTTTAACTTGATCATTGATTACTTTTGTATATTTATCTTTAAAACCGTTGTAGTATACAGAAAAACCCAATGTCTACTTGGATAATATATTTGTTTATTTCAGACGAAACTGCATTTTAGCAGATGAAATGGGTCTTGGCAAAACAATTCAATCAATTACATTCCTCTACGAAATCCTTCTGACTGGTATAAGAGGACCTTTCCTGATTATTGCTCCACTTTCTACTATTGCAAACTGGGAGAGAGAATTTCGTACGTGGACTGATATTAATGTTGTGGTTTATCATGGGAGCCTGATTAGCAGACAGATGATACAGCGGTATGAGATGTACTTCAGGGACTCACAGGTGTGTTACCGGTCATTTGGTTTATTGTTTGAATGCTCAGGTTGGAACATGATAAGCATTGCATATTCATTACATTCAGATTTAGGATGGATTTTAATTGCCTATTTAGATCTTCAGTCTCTTTATTCATCATATATTTTATAATAAATATTAGTAGCAAAAGAGAACAATGACTAAAGTAGTTCCGTTTGTGCTCTAATTTATTATGAAGTAGTATTCTTATTTATACAAATGTGCAAATCTATATCTCTAATTTTTAAACTAAATAATGTTTTTACTAAATGTTTAAAATATACATTAAATTTAGAATTATAAAGGTCTCTTTGATAATCCTCCAGTGTGTTTTTTTCTTCTCATTTTAAAAATTTAAATCTTCAGTGAATACCATGAATTTAAAAGCCTGTTGATGTGAAATCTCAAATAGGTTCTTTTTTGTGTTCATTGGATTTTGATTTAGACATTTTTAAAAATTTGGTTTGTTGATCCTGGCCAGGTAGATCATTTGGTTTGAGTGTCATCCCAATATGCCAAGGTTTGTTGGTTTGATCTCTGGTCAGGGTACATACAAGAATTAACCAATGAATGCATAAATAGTGGAACAACAAATCGATGTTTCTCTCTCTCTCTCTTTTTCACTCTCTACCTCCCTTCCTCCCTTTTTTCCTCTTCCCCCCTCCTCTCTCTCAAATCAATTTTTAACAATTTTGGTTTTATATACAGTTTAAGCATACCTCTATAAGTTTTCCCCCTTTGGATTGGTTATTCTAATACTCTGGGGATTTTATGGCTTCTCCGCTCTATCTTATGGGCACATTTTCCATTTTATTTATTTTTTTGGCTACATACATAGGTTATAAAATTTAAGAGATTACATTATAAGAAAGAATTTGCTACCAGAGCCCTAACTGGTTTGGCTCAGTGGATAGAGCGTCAGCCTGCGGACTGAAGGGTCCCAGGTTCGATTCCAGTCAAGGGCATGTACCTTGGTTGCAGGCACATCCCCAGTAGGGGGTGTGCAGGAGGCAGCTGATCGATGTTTCTCATCGATGTTTCTAACTCTCTATTCTTCTCCCTTCCTCTCTGTAAAAAATCAATAAAAGATTTTTTTTTAAAATTTCCTAGCAGAAAATTAATACTTGAAAATATAAAGTGCCAAGTTGAAGTTTTGAGTAGTAATACAACTATTTTTAGATAAAAACTTTATTAAGAAATAAGAAACAAAATGAAAAAACAACAACACACATTTCACATGAAATTGTACTTTTTAATTGGAATTTGGCACTCTAGCTCTACTTCAACATCATCATGATGTTTTATTTTTCTTTCACTGATTCTTCTTTTTATAAGGATCATTATAATTTATGGCCAGATCATGTGATGTAATTTGTGTTAAAATAAGGTAATATATATAACATTGTATTTTTACTTCCCAATTTTAACTGATTTTCTACTTTTTGAGGCTGAAAATTAATGAATTGATTAATTCCTTTAACCTCATTTTCCCTTCTGCTTTACATTTCTATGAAATTAAGCATCTACAAAGTCCTTTAATTATTATCAGTTCTATGGAAAACTTACCTTTGTACCTTTGGGGCCTATGACATTTTAGTTAGGTTATAGTTTGATTTTCTTCTGTCATGTTTTATAATTCTTAATCATACATTTGTAGAATTTTAGCGCTGTGTGGCATCATAGAAATAAGTTCAATTGAATTTTTTTAGAGAAGGTGCAATTAACATATTTTGACTATAAGAGATTTTTAACAACGTCACAATTTTAATGTGTCATGAGTTTGGTATTAATATGATAGCCAAAGAACTGAAAGATTCTTCATGCATTATAAACATGATATTATTTATTAAGTGTTATATTTTTATGATAATTTTATACATTCTAGAAAAATATCAAGGGTTTTAAATTTCAAAAGGTAAAGATTTCTCATGTAATGAGATAAATAGATCTTTAAATATAGGAACAACTTTTGTTACCACTTTTAAATATATTTTAATATAAATTAATTGAATATTTAACGTCTGCTTTTTTCAAATTATTAAATAGCTTGAAATCACAGTAGTAATAAAATTATGCTCAAATTTTCTAAATTGCCACGAGAAGAATAATCACAAACATTTATTGAGTATTTACCATGTGCCAGGCATTATGTTAAACCATTTACATATAATATCTTACTTAATCCTTGCATTGCCAACCTTTAAATATGTAATAATATTATTGTTCCCATTTACAAATGAGCAAACTGAGGTATAAATAAGTTACTTAGTTTCCCCCCAAAGTCATAGAGCATACTGGGAATAACATACCCAGTGAATTATACTTGAGAGCCCTTACTCTTAAGCAATGCATACATCATATTTCAGGTTTTTGAGCCTTATAAATACCATAGACTTATAGTTTTATTTATTTTCTACTGGAGCTATTGTTCAACTTAATGGCCAGTGAATGTAGTCAATATGAATTAATCTAAGTTAATAGGAATTAAAATCCTGTCAGAACACATGTTTCTTAAGCCTTCATTTCTCTCTAATTCCTAAGAGTTTATAGTTTTCAATCCCACTTAAACATTATCTTCACTTGGATTCTATTCCTATAGCATCATCTGTTCCTTCAGAAGTCCCCTTTACTGGTTTCTTCTCATCTTCTCTGTCTCAACATGAGGCAACCCACGGCTCCGTCTTCACATGCTTTTATGCCTATACTCCATCAGATTTCATTTAGCCGCACAATGTATGCCGTCTATACAACTGGAAACTTCAAAAACGATGTCACTAATTCTAACCTCTTTTCTAAATCCCAGAGTCATATCCAAATGCCTATTCAACTATTCCGCTTGGATATCGACTAGGTGTCTCAAGCATAACATATCCAAAACCATAATCCTGAATTTCCTCATTGTAAATAGCAATACCAACTTCTGTGTTCAAGCTAAGAATTTTTAGAGTCAAACTTGAATCCTTTAAGTCATTGCACAACTGCCCATTAGCATATCCTATAGCTCTGTTTTCAAAACACATCTAAAATTGAGCACTTCTCATGACTTCTAATGAGTATCTCTTGCTTCAATTATATCACAGCCTCTTAACTGGTCTATATAATCCTCTCCTTGGGTTGTTTTACTCTTTTTACCATGGCAGCCAAAAGCGAGTCTTTTAAAATTATGTCAAATCATGAAATTTCTTGTCTCAAAATCCTCCAGTAGCTCTTTGTTCACGGTAAGAGCCAAAGCCCTTACTGCAGAATTCAAGTCCCTGTATATCCTTATTCCCTCCACATTGGATGTCAACCACTCCGACTTTCTTGCTATTGTTTGAATACTGCCAAAGGGCCTCCTGCATCAGGGCCTTCACACTTGCTACTTCCGACAAAAACGCTTTTTCCTCTAGACCTCTAGGTCTAGGTATCAACATGGCTTCTGCCCTCATCTTCAGGACTTTGCTCAAATGTCACTTCTCAGTAATGGCTTCTCAGGCACACTATTTTAAAAATTACAATGGTCACCTCTCACCCTCAGCCCTTATCATATTCTAACTTAGTATTTTTAGCTTATTTTTTTTTATTGTTGTATTGTGTTGTTTCTTTGTTCCTTAGTGGCTATGGCCTCTATTTGAAAACTAAAACGTTAAATTCCACGGGGACAATTATATTTATGTGTTTTGTTTACTGCCATATCTCTAGCAACTAGAACAGGGTCTGGCACATAGACACTCAATAAATATTTGTTGACTAAATGACTTGGTAATTTTGATATTAACTACCTTTTTGCCATCCTATGTGTGGACTCATGGATGTAAGTAATCCACATTAATACTGAAGTTTCAGTGGCCAGGTTGTATACAGGTCTCTTCACACATGTCCTGAAATCATTATTATAACTCTTAAAAATTATAAAACATTTTATCGAGGAATGCTTATTTGGGTGTAATTATAAATTATGTAATTGTGTTGGCATAATTTTTAACATCATTCTTAAAAACATAGCAATCTATTAACAGTTTTTTAAAAATATATTTATTGATTTTGAAATCACAGTAGTAATAAAATTATGCTCAAATTTTCTAAATTGCCACGAGAAGAATAATCACAAACATTTATTGAGTATTTACCATGTGCCAGGCATTATGTTAAACCATTTACATATAATATCTTACTTAATCCTTGCATTGCCAACCTTTAAATATGTAATAATATTATTGTTCCCATTTACAAATGAGCAAACTGAGGTATAAATAAGTTACTTAGTTTCCCCCCAAAGTCATAGAGCATACTGGGAATAACATACCCAGTGAATTATACTTGAGAGCCCTTACTCTTAAGCAATGCATACATCATATTTCAGGTTTTTGAGCCTTATAAATACCATAGACTTATAGTTTTATTTATTTTCTACTGGAGCTATTGTTCAACTTAATGGCCAGTGAATGTAGTCAATATGAATTAATCTAAGTTAATAGGAATTAAAATCCTGTCAGAACACATGTTTCTTAAGCCTTCATTTCTCTCTAATTCCTAAGAGTTTATAGTTTTCAATCCCACTTAAACATTATCTTCACTTGGATTCTATTCCTATAGCATCATCTGTTCCTTCAGAAGTCCCCTTTACTGGTTTCTTCTCATCTTCTCTGTCTCAACATGAGGCAACCCACGGCTCCGTCTTCACATGCTTTTATGCCTATACTCCATCAGATTTCATTTAGCCGCACAATGTATGCCGTCTATACAACTGGAAACTTCAAAAACGATGTCACTAATTCTAACCTCTTTTCTAAATCCCAGAGTCATATCCAAATGCCTATTCAACTATTCCGCTTGGATATCGACTAGGTGTCTCAAGCATAACATATCCAAAACCATAATCCTGAATTTCCTCATTGTAAATAGCAATACCAACTTCTGTGTTCAAGCTAAGAATTTTTAGAGTCAAACTTGAATCCTTTAAGTCATTGCACAACTGCCCATTAGCATATCCTATAGCTCTGTTTTCAAAACACATCTAAAATTGAGCACTTCTCATGACTTCTAATGAGTATCTCTTGCTTCAATTATATCACAGCCTCTTAACTGGTCTATATAATCCTCTCCTTGGGTTGTTTTACTCTTTTTACCATGGCAGCCAAAAGCGAGTCTTTTAAAATTATGTCAAATCATGAAATTTCTTGTCTCAAAATCCTCCAGTAGCTCTTTGTTCACGGTAAGAGCCAAAGCCCTTACTGCAGAATTCAAGTCCCTGTATATCCTTATTCCCTCCACATTGGATGTCAACCACTCCGACTTTCTTGCTATTGTTTGAATACTGCCAAAGGGCCTCCTGCATCAGGGCCTTCACACTTGCTACTTCCGACAAAAACGCTTTTTCCTCTAGACCTCTAGGTCTAGGTATCAACATGGCTTCTGCCCTCATCTTCAGGACTTTGCTCAAATGTCACTTCTCAGTAATGGCTTCTCAGGCACACTATTTTAAAAATTACAATGGTCACCTCTCACCCTCAGCCCTTATCATATTCTAACTTAGTATTTTTAGCTTATTTTTTTTTATTGTTGTATTGTGTTGTTTCTTTGTTCCTTAGTGGCTATGGCCTCTATTTGAAAACTAAAACGTTAAATTCCACGGGGACAATTATATTTATGTGTTTTGTTTACTGCCATATCTCTAGCAACTAGAACAGGGTCTGGCACATAGACACTCAATAAATATTTGTTGACTAAATGACTTGGTAATTTTGATATTAACTACCTTTTTGCCATCCTATGTGTGGACTCATGGATGTAAGTAATCCACATTAATACTGAAGTTTCAGTGGCCAGGTTGTATACAGGTCTCTTCACACATGTCCTGAAATCATTATTATAACTCTTAAAAATTATAAAACATTTTATCGAGGAATGCTTATTTGGGTGTAATTATAAATTATGTAATTGTGTTGGCATAATTTTTAACATCATTCTTAAAAACATAGCAATCTATTAACAGTTTTTTAAAAATATATTTTTATTGATTTCAGAAAGGAAGGGAGAGTGAGAGATAAATAGAAGCAGCAATGATGAAAGAAAATCATAGATAGGCTGCCTCCTGCATGCCCCCTACTGGGGATCGAGCCTGCAATCTGGGCATGTGTTGACCATAAATTTTTATTGATTTCAGAAAGGAAGGGAGAGTGAGAGATAAATAGAAACAGCAATGATGAAAGAAAATCATAGATAGGCTGCCTCCTGCATGCCCCCTACTGGGGATCGAGCCTGCAATCTGGGCATGTGCCCTTGACCATAATTGAACCTGGAATCCTTCAGTCTGCAGGCCAACACTTTATCCACTAAGCCAAACCAGCTAGGACTATTAACAGTTTTAATACTAAAACTCCTCATTTAAGGGAATGTCTATGAATATATGTATATAAAAATTTCAGTGGAAAATAGTTTATACCAGATGTCATTAGATGTATTTTTATGCTATGTGATGGGAATTAAAATTTATGGTCAAGATATTCTAGCAAATTACTGTATTTGATAATAAATTTCTAGGGGCGTATCATTCGAGGAGCTTACAGATTCCAAGCCATCATCACCACTTTTGAAATGATTCTTGGAGGATGTGCAGAGCTTAATGCAATTGAATGGCGATGTGTGATCATTGATGAAGCACATAGGTTAAAAAACAAAAATTGTAAACTTCTAGAAGGTCTGAAACTCATGAATCTGGTAAGTAACATCTTTATTATGAGTTAATTCAGTTTCTTGGCTACATAGCAAAAGGTCAGATAGAGTCAGAGAACTAATCCTATAAACTTACATTTTAGAGTACAGTAATATCTGATTTCTATCTGTGCTGATTTGTTGCTTTATATTAGTAAGGGAAAAAATCTCATCTGTTTCCTAAGACTTAAAATTTTTTAGCTTTTTCATTCAAAATGCTTTAGAAATTAACTTCTAGAATTAAAAAAAAAGAAACCTCTGTAGAATGTACTATTAAAAAGAAAATACTATCATAGTTTCAAGCCATAAATTTCTTTTAAAGCCCCTTATCCAACGTTATAATATTATACAGGGATAAAGTGCCTACATGACTCTACATGCTTAGTATATATAGATACTAATTAATAAATAGGATTTTTAATAAGTTTTCTTAGTGTGTATGCTTCTTTCAAATCAAAGTGGTTTGCTTTTAAAAAAAATTTTATTTAATTAAGATCACATAATTAGTACATGAGCACTTAAAGAAATAATATATACAGAACTACATACAGTAAACAAAGTTCCCCATTGTACTCCTCCCTCCATGCCCACTCCCACTCCCACTCCTCACCCAGGATTTAAAGCTGGATGTGTATCTTTCTAGGCTATTTACTAGTGCATATGCACAGATACATAAATGCATATGTACAGATGCATATACAAGCATTTAGCTAAGGAATTTAGAGGTATTGTCAAATAGAATTTTAAATAATTTGTACTATTACCATTAAAACTGTTTCCTTCCGTTACTATTGTGTTTAATTTATAATGCATTTCCAATTTAGAATCATATTCCAAACAGCACTTCGCACTGTTGGGGTGCAGCCTTAATTATTTGAGAATCTGTTCTTTTGTTAAGGCAAATAAATGACCAGCCAAATTTCAAAGAATGTGCACAGTTTTGTATACAAATTGCTATAGCAAGAATGGTTCAGTACAAAAGAAACAAATACTCTCTTTGTTCTTAAAAAACCTGTTTCATTGAGAAAATCTAAAATGTGTTTCTTAATTGTTTAGAACTTTTCTTTTAGAGGCATGAATAAGTAAAAACTGTGCGAAGTGAGGTATTATGAGAATGAGAGTTTTTAAAAAGTGATTGAGAAGTTAATTAATGGAGATTTATAAGTAGAGATGTATTTTGATAATGTTAGTCAAAAAAAAATTTGCTTTTCAATCACTGAATATTTGATAACCTATGTCAACTTTTATATAATTTTTGTATTGTGGTAGTTGATATGAATTATTCTTGCTTTATATAGGAACACAAGGTGCTTTTGACAGGCACACCTCTCCAAAACACAGTAGAAGAACTATTCAGTCTTCTTCACTTTCTAGAACCTTTAAGGTTTCCTTCTGAACCAACATTTATGCAAGAATTTGGGGATCTGAAAACAGAGGAACAGGTAAATGTTTGGTCTTTGTGAATAAGTACATCAGATCTTTTATCATTGCAGTTATGTGTGTATATGTGTAATTGACTGTACACATATGTTATATATCTTGTCTTCTTTTTTTTATGCAGGTGCAGAAACTTCAGGCTATACTGAAACCGATGATGTTGAGACGATTGAAGGAAGATGTGGAGAAGAAGTTGGCACCAAAAGAAGAAACCATCATTGAAGTGGAACTTACTAACATTCAAAAGAAATACTACCGGGCTATTTTGGAGAAGAACTTTTCATTTTTATCCAAAGGAGCAGGACAGACTAATGTACCTAACTTGGTCAATACCATGATGGAGCTCAGGAAGTGCTGTAACCATCCATATCTTATCAAAGGTAGCTAAAAAGAATGACACACAAGTCCTTGTTTCTTCCAAGAAATGCTCATGAATAAAAACAGCGTGTTGCAGCTGTCCTGGCAGTTACAAGAAAAGACATTGATCCTGTAATTGCACTCTGGTCTCCTGTAGGATTATGGGTGGTTCAGAATCAGGGTCCCATGTTACCACGTCAGATTGTAATAGCAGGTCTTGTGTTCAGTTTCACATGGACTGGAATTTCTCCTTCAATTTAATCATCCTCAGGCACAAACACAGCAACACCCATCTTGGCCTCCACATTTATATTTTTTTCTGGTATCTTTCCAGTCCAGGTAATGTGTAAATTTTGGTGCTCTCATGTTACTTTTCAAGGTCTTGCATTCTATCTGTACAACATTTGGGTCTTTACACTTGCAGTATTTCTGGGAATATACCCCCTATCTTTCTTTATCCAAGACAAGTCATTTCATAGCCTACTAAGGAACTCACTCGCAATCCCCATACTTGATTGATGACTACACAGGCTGAGGGAAGGCAGAGAGCCTTTAATGCAGATACAGACTCTCTGGAGAAAGTATTCATCAATGACCTATACTTTTCCTTGTTTCTTTATTTTGATGGCCATCAGAATCCCATAGATATAACCAGATTAATCTGATCACCTTTCAGTGGTGGATCCCTGCTACATTGGTGTTTAACTATTAAAAGTGTGTTTGAAAAGATGTGATTTTCACCCAGGTCAGGACTACATTTTCATTAATTCTTTCCCTAATAACATTATTAAGCATAATGAGCATAAATTTATATAAGACATTTTGCCAGGTGTCCGGGGAGATAAAAAGATACTTCATAAATTGTCCGTATCCTCAATACAATTTTAGTCCTGTGTGGGTCGGGGATTTAGCCACAAACAAATAATTCTAATAAATGTACTGGTAATTCACCTCCCATCCAAGAAGTCTTAGTGTGTTACAGAAACACAGAGGAGCACTGATTCAGATTTTTGGAACAATGAAAGCAGTTGGGTCTTACCTTCATTTGTGCATTGATGCTCTCATATTTCTCTGACAGGTGCTGAGGAGAAAATACTTGGAGAATTTAGAGATACATATAATCCAGCTGCTTCTGATTTTCATCTCCAAGCAATGATCCAGTCTGCTGGTAAATTGGTCCTTATTGATAAATTGCTTCCCAAAATGAAAGCAGGAGGTCATAAAGTGCTCATCTTCTCTCAGATGGTACGCTGCCTTGACATCCTGGAGGACTATCTTATACATAAAAGGTAAAGCATAGAATTATCCTCTGAATTATTTTATGAATTATGCTGAATATATGTCATTAAGGTTTTTGCAGCACTGTACTATAACCCACCTTTACTCACATCTAGATAATATATCTATTCCTATGAGTACAGATTGCTTAGGGTTATGTATCAGGTGTTTTCCTAACCTACTTATTTGTAATAGTAGGCGGAGCTAAGGAGACTAAGAAAACTTTGCAAACTGACAGGTATTTGTCAACCTAGGAATGGGTTTACTAGTATGCATTTTATTTAATTTGTGAAATTTGCAGTAATGACATTTCAGACAGACTTATAACTGTCTTCAGAATGGGGGAAAAAATGATTCAAGCTCCTTTTCCAAACTCTTTAATTGTTAGAATTAGAGCCTGAACTGCTGCACTTTGACTTCTATCATACAAGTCTAAACTTTGTTCATGCTTAGATCTTTTCTGATTTGTTTAATGTGGGGTTTTGTTTTGTGTTCTGTTTGTTTGTTTGTTTTTTTTTTGTTTTTTTTTTGGTGTCTAACAGTTAGTCTTAAATATTGACTAGGCACTACCTAATTATATAGGACTAGAGGCCCGGTGCACGAAATTCATTCACTCAAGTGGGGGGGGATCTCCTCAGCCCAGCCTGCACGCTCTCGCAGTCCGGGAGCCCTCAGGGGATGTCTGACTGATGGCTTAGGCCCCCTCCCCACCTAAGCTGTCAGTTGGACATCCTTAGCACTGCAGTGGAGGTGGGAGAGGCTCCCGCCACCACCGCTGCACTCACCAGCCGTGAGCCCAGTTTCTGTCTGAGTGATGCTCCCGCTGTGGGAGCGCAGTGACCACCAGGGGGCAGCTCCTACATTGAGTGTCTACCTCCTGGTTGTCAGTGCACATCATAGCAACTGGTCGTTCTGCAGTTTGGTCAATTTGCATTTTAGCCTTTTATTATATAGAACTAGAGGCCCGGTGCACAAAAATTTGTGCACTCAGGGGGGAAGGGGGGGTCCCTCAGCCTGGCCTGTGCCCTCTCGCAGTCTGGGACCCCTCAGGAGATAACGCCCTGCTGGCTTAGGCCTGCTCCTGGGTGGCAGAGGGCAGGCCCAATCCCTAGGTGCAGCCCCTGGTCGGGCTCAGAGCAGGGCTGATTGGGGAGTTGGGGCGGACAGCCTCAAGCACTGCCCCCCACCTGGCAGGGTCACAGATCCGAGTCCCGGGACAGCAGACAGACTCAAGCACTGCCCCCCACCTGGCAGGGTCACAGATCCGGGTCCCCGGATCGCAGACAGCCTTAAGCACTGCCCTCCGCCCGGCAGGGTCACAGATCTGGATCCCGAGACCGCAGACAGTCTCAAGTGCTGCCCCCCGCCTGGCAGAGTCACAGATCTGAGTCCTGGACTACGGACAGCCTCCCGCGGTCCCGCCCGTCTGGCAGGGTCACAGATCCGGGTCCCAGACCGCGGACAGCCTCAAGCACTGCCCCCGCCTGGCAGGGTCACAGATCCGGGTCCCAGACCGCGGACAGCCTCAAGCACTGCCCCCGCCTGGCAGGGTCACAGATCCGGGTCCCAGACCGCGGACAGCCTCAAGCACTGCCCCCGCCTGGCAGGGTCACAGATCCGGGTCCCAGACCGCGGACAGCCTCAAGCACTGCCCCCGCCTGGCAGGGTCACAGATCCGGGTCCCAGACCGCAGACAGCCTTGCCTGCTGCCGCCTGCCTTCAGTATGCAAATTAGCCGCCATCTTGTTGCTTCAGGGTGGGGGTCCCCACTGGGGTGCCTGGCCAGTCTGGGTGAGGGGCTGAGGGCCGTTTTCAGGCTGGCGGGCGACTGAAGCTCCAAACCTCTCCTTTTTTTCTTTTTTTTTTATTCTGGCATTTATTTACCTTCTATGGCTGTCACTGGAGCTGAGAGCCGGCTTTCTCTCTGAGGCTCGGCTGCTGAAAGCAGGTTTCTGGCCTTTGTTTTCTGTATTCGAAACAATGTTGCGACTCCAGCTCTGAGATCCCTGCTGACTGACAGGAGGTTTCTGGGGTTTTGTTTATCTTCTATAAATGTTACAATGTTTCCAACTGAAGCTCAGAGGCCGGCAAGGCAGGCAGGGAACGTTGGTTTCCTCTGTCACTGAAGGAAGCAAGCCTCCCTGTTAGCTTCAAGCTGCCTGGCTGCCGGCTGCCATCTTGGCTGACAGTTAATTTGCATATCTCCCTGATTAGCCAATGGGAAGGTTAGCGGTCGTACACCAATTACCATGTTTCTCTTTTTTTAGTGTAGATATCAGTGCATTGGTGGTCTAATCAGATATCAACATCTATATATGTAAAAGCCTAAGTGACCGAACGACTGGTTGACCAGTCACTATGACACACACTGACCACCAGGGGGCAGACGCTCAACACAGGAGCTGCCCACCGGTGGTCAGTGCGCTCCCACAGCCAGCCTCCCGCGGTCCCTACCCCCTGGCCAGCCGAACGTCCAGAGGCCACTCTCCCCAGCCGGCTGGCCCTGATGGCCCTGATCTGAACCTCCCACCAGCCGCCCCAATCGGGGCCGGCTGGCCAACCTCCCGTGGCCCCTCCCCCCAGCTGGCCAACCGCCCTTGGCCCCTCCCCCCTACCAGCCCTGCCCCTGATCGCCCCCCTACCCACTCCAATCTTGCACGAAATTTGTGCAAGAGTAGGCCTTCCTTCCCCGGGCTGCCTGCACCGGCTTCCCTCTGGCACCTGGGACCTGGGCTTCCCTTGCAGCCCCAGCTTTGTCTGGAAGGTCATCCGGAAGGACGTCTGGTCTAATTAGCATATTATGCTTTTATTATTATAGATGAAGGATAAAGGAAGTTAAAAGTCAATAGCTTGTAAATACTGCCTATGAGAAAACAGCATTCTAGGTTGCGCTTGCTAGATGTATAGTTTAGAGACTAACATGATTGACACAGAGAAATGTCTGTAGGCTTCTTCTATAAAGTTATATGAAAGTATTTGCTTCGTATACAAAAAAGTCATTTATTATAATGAGATCAGCAAAGTAGGCTTCATGGACTATTTTTCCATTCCAGCTTCTAAAAATGATGTTCGTTATAATAGTATGTTACCTATAAATCAGGAAAGCAGATATTTTTCTATCTTTATATTACTTTGTATTTCATTCTTAGTTTCAATACAGAGAATGTAAAACTCCACCTAGGGTAATAATTGCTTGTTAAGTTGTAGGAAAACAGACTTGACATGTGTCTTCATTTTCATTATATCCCTCTATTTAAATTTATTGCCTTTCATTTGATAGGTATTTATATGAGCGAATTGATGGCAGAGTCAGAGGAAATCTTCGACAAGCTGCTATAGATCGATTTAGTAAGCCTGACTCAGATCGATTTGTTTTCCTGCTGTGTACCCGAGCTGGTGGGCTGGGCATCAACTTAACTGCTGCTGATACATGTATAATTTTTGACTCTGATTGGAATCCTCAAAATGACCTTCAGGTAAATAAATTCTTCTCCTAAGAGGATTAAATTTATTTAAAATGTTTTCTAGCTATTATACTTTTATCTAGACAAGCTAACATATATGTTTCCCTAAGTAATATTGATGCTAAATTAAAAAGATTATTTAATTTAAATTTAATGACAATAAAATATACTACATATATTACTTCTTAAAAGCTTTTCCGCCCTAACCGGTTTGGCTCAGTGGATAGAGCGTCGGCCTGCGGACTCAAGGGTCCCAGGTTCGATTCCGGTCAAGGACATGTACCTTGGTTGCGGGCACATCCCCAGTAGGGGATGCGCAAGAGGCAGCTGATCGATATTTCTCTCTCATCGATGTTTCTAACTCTCTATCCTTCTCCCTTCCTCTCTGTAAAAAATCAATAAAATATATTAAAAAAAAAAAGCTTTTCCTACTTGAATAGAGTATTTAATTGTTTAAAATATGTAAATTGAAAGACACCTAAGATTTTACAATAACTTATAACAAAATGTTCACAATTTTATTTTCTTAAAAATAAATACTTGCTTATCTAATTTCAACTTCTCAGTCATTATGTAATAAAGTATGTTTTTATGAAATATTATAGAAAATTAAAGTATTCATATAAGTTTAAGACTGCTTGGATTTTGTAGAAACAGGAATATCAGTTAGAGTGATGAAAGGGTCAGAGGTTGCAGTGATAACCTATCTAGGAAAGATGGCAAGATAAACTATAAGAAAAATTAACCTTTTATTGTCCTTGATAGTCAATTGTGTTGTAATTAATATTATTACTTTAAATATAAACATCAAATAAAAGTAAATTGTTACAAAAAGTTATACCTGGCTCAATAAAAAGTATGGTTTGAACCTCTCATTTGTGTGACTTTATGTAATCTAGTTCCAAATATCGAAGGTTTATCCAAAATTAATAGATTAAATCAGGGATAAATTATAGAAAGTCAATTAGTAAATACTTTAGGTATTGTGGGCCACATAAAGTAAGTCTATGTCCCACATTTTGTGTTTATTTCTTTTTAACATCACTTTAAAAATGTAAAACTTATTCTTAGAAGCAGGCCAGATATGGGTAACAACCTATAGTTTTCCAGTCCCTAGGTTATACCCATATCATAATAATTTGCCTTTGGAATGCTTATTTATACTTAAAACTGACCACAGTTCATGTGATGTTCTCCAAGTTAATCTAAAATAAAATAATCAAATTGTATTTGAGAACCGGGAAAAATTTCAGATTCCTAAGTTCTCCCTCTCACTTGGTTTTTCCTACTTACTTCTAATGTGGATCTATTATAGACTTATAAAAAAATTGACCTTTTATACTTTTCTCTAGACCTGGAGCAAAGTTGTTCATTCGCAGTTTTGACTTCCTGTGGGCACAAAGTATATATGGATAGACTAAACAAAAGATGTTTACAAAGGGTATAGCATCAATGCCACCTAAAAATTGTAAAGCCATGCCCTAACCAGTTTGGCTCAGTGGATAGAGCGTCAGCCTACAGACTCAGGGGTCCCAGGTTCGATTCCGGTCAAGGGCATGTACCTTGGTTGCGGGCACATCCCCAGTAGGGAGTGTGCAGGAAGCAGCTGATCGATGTTTCTCTCTCATCGATGTTTCTAACTCTCTATCCCTCTTCCTTCTTCTCTATAAAAAATCAATAAAATATATTTTAAAAAATTGTAAAGCCACAATTTATATTTTAATTTTCTGAAGATAATATAAGGTTGAATAATAATTTGGGAGAAAGACCATTGGTACTATAGAAACTTTAGAGTCAAAATTTATTAGTAAATTTTAAGTATAGCAAGAACTAAAGGTAAAACTTTCAATATTTCTACACATGAGATAATTAGTTCTCTTCGTTTAAATAAGATTTAGTTTTCCATAGTTACTCACCTTAGTTTCTTGTACCCCCTCAGTTATCCAGTTTAACTAAAATATGCTGAAAAGATTGTTGATCGATTTAAAGGTTGAGTTGCCAACAGCCAAAAAAAAAATTCATAGAGTTGACTTTACTGTCTAAAATTATATTGATGACACCCTCTTTTAAAAACAATAATTCTTCAATGATTTATATTCTCTGAAATCTAAGATTAAATTTATCTTGTCGCTGATTTCATATTTTAGTAAGCTCTACCTTCATTATTAGAAAATGCTTATAACTAATTCAGTAGCAAAAGGGTCTAAAAATTCTTACATACTTTTATATTCCATCAAGATATTTTACTCTTAAATGCCTTTTATGTGCTGTCTTTTGTGCTATTTTGTAAAATAAATTGAATGTATGACTTTTCATTTTTTTTAAATTTTGTTTTATTGCTTAAAGTATTACAAAGAGTATTACATATGTCTCCTCCCCCTCTGCCCCCCACTTTTCATTTTTTATAGGCCCAAGCTCGTTGTCACAGAATTGGTCAGAATAAAGCAGTTAAAGTCTACCGATTAGTAACTCGTAACTCATACGAGAGGGAGATGTTTGACCGAGCCAGTCTGAAACTGGGTCTAGACAAGGCTGTGTTACAGAGCATGAGTGGAAGAGAAAGTAATGTTGGTGGTGTATGTATATTTTCTTTTTCACTTGGAGTTTTTATTTGCATTTACTTTTAACCTCAAGTAGGGTATTATTTAATTTTGATCCATACTGAGCACTAAATAGCTGATTTTATGTATGGAGGCACTTCAGAAGGGGGTGTAACATTTAGTTAATACTTTTTATCTTGTTCTCTTTGTATAGCTCCAGAGCTTGTGAATTCTAAGAATTTGTATTCAAGGTAGAAATGTTTTGTTCTGCCTTTAGAACGATTGTATCATGGCGTAGAAAAATAGAATTTGTGAGTTTTTCTGCAGTTTTCTATGCATAGTTTTTCAGAATTGTTTTTAGTGTTAAACTACTGGCATTGACTTAGTCTTGTAGTACATAATTTTTTCGTCATTACCTCCATCGAGATTCTTTTCTTATATATTGTGCTTGTAACAACTATAGAATCCTGGAACTAAAATACACCTTGATAGCTCACCTGCCCCCACACGCTTTGTTTTAACTTCAGATATTTTAGGCAAATGGCAAGTCACATTTTAAAGATAATAAAGAAGAGTCAACAAGTTTAATGTATTCTTTCAGAGAATCATCTTTTATGTACATATTTAAATATGCCCTCTGTGTTTGGCATTCTTTAGGGATACTTTCTCACTTTAGGAACCTAAAAACATTTTGTTACCAAAGTTATTTTCTCTTTAGATTCAACAGCTTTCCAAAAAGGAAATAGAAGATCTGCTTCGAAGAGGAGCTTATGGTGCCATTATGGAAGAAGAAGATGAAGGTTCTAAATTCTGTGAAGAGGACATTGATCAGATTTTACTACGACGTACAAAAACTATTACAATTGAGTCAGAAGGACGTGGGTCAACATTTGCTAAGGTAACAGGGAGTGCTGTTTTATATATATGCCAGTAACATTCACTACTAAAAAAATTTAAGTCTCTCTTACACTGCTGATTATTTGCCGAGCATCTACCTAATGTTTAAGTAAACTGAATTAGCTCAAAAGAAGTAGGAAATACACGTTTTTCTTTTTCTGATTTTTTAAAAATATATTTTTATTAATTTCAGAGAGGAAGGGAGAGGGAGAGAGAGAGAGAGAAACATCAATGATGAGAGGGAATCATTGATTGGCTGCCTCTTGCATGCCCCCTATTGGAGATCGAGCCCACAACCTGGGCATGTGCCCTTGATCAGAATCGAACCCGGGACCCTTCAGTCCATAAGCCAACGCTCTATCCACTGAGCCAAACCGGCTAGGGCTTTTTCTGATTTTTTTTATATCACATTTCATACGTACTTGTTTGATCCTAGTGAAATGGAATAACTAAAAATATATTTAATACTAATCAGAGTAGAACATTTGAAATTTTAGAAGTAAAAGGATATATGCCAAAGTGAAAGAAAAATATACATAATAGAATATAGGAGGTTAAGTCATCTTACTTTAACTGATGATGCAGTAGTTCCCACTTATCCATGCCTTCACTCTCCAGTATCAGTCAACTACTGTCTAAAAATATTAAAGTCCAGAAATAAACAATTCAGAACATACTTTGAGAGATAGAAATCATATAATTTTTATTACAGTATATTGTTATAATTTATTAGTTATTGTGGTTAATCTCTTAATGTGTCTAATTTATAAGTGAAACTTTATCGTGGGTACGTATAGAACCGTGGTTCTCAACCGCCTTTCACAGGGGTGGCCTAAGACCATCGGAAAACACATATATAATTACATATTGTTTTTGTGATTAATCACTATGCTTTAATTATGTTCAATTTGTAACAATGAAAATACATCCTGCATATCAGATATTTACATTACGATTCATAACAGTAGCAAAATTACAGTTATGAAGTAGCAACGAAAATAATTTTATGGTTGGGGGTCACCACAACATGAGGAACTGTATGAAAGGGTCGCGGCATTAGGAAGGTTGAGAACCACTGGTATAGAAGAAGATATAGTATGTGTAGGTTTTAATAGCATCCACAGTTTCAGGCATCCACTGGGCGTCTTAGAACATATCTCCTGTGGATAAGGCAGGGCTTCTATAATTTAAAATATTTAAAAGAGAGAAAGGACTTCTAATTTTCTTTTAAATATTTAAGTACAATTTGGGGAGGGTAAAATAAAATTTGTGTCTTGACAGGAATTGCTAATAACTATCAATCTACTCTATTTTGAGAAAATAATTTAAAACTTTACTAACTGCCTTTGTATTCCTTTTTTTTTCCCTGTCAACAAAAACATGGTAAATTTATATCTTGTATTCATCTGAAGAGGTTTTATTGCAGTATTATCTCCCACCTGCACTGATTCATACAGGTTTTTCCTTTCCACTTCCTTTCTACCCACATTTTCTTTCTTCTCTATCCCCCTCTCTGCTTTCAACCATGAAATCTTCTTTATCTTTTTGGATCACTGGTTTTGTCAGGTAGTTCAGGTGTTACACCAAGTAATGATATTATTCTTTAAATGAAATTTTTTCTCTTGCATTCATTAAGCATACTAATGAAATCTTGTGTCGGGGACTTTACTCATTTGCCAGAAATACTAAAATGAAAGGATTCCAGTTGCTAAAAAAATAATAATAGTAAAGGAGGAAATGATTAATTCTGTGGAAAAAGGGAGAACAGGGTATCAGGAAAGCCTTTGCAGAGAAAATTGGAGCTAATTCTTAAAAGAAGTTTAGATTTCATTATGTTTCAAAAAGAGAGGAGGTCACCTAAATGAATCATATGTTGCTAAAACTATAAGGAAGACTTCAAGGAATATGATATAGGCATGCATGGATGCACAGGATGAATTGAATAGAAGTCCAAATGAGAGGGTTAGAGAGGTTGGACTCAACTTGTGAGGGATTCACAAAAATTCCATTTGAGGAATTTGCACTTGATCATGAGGCTGTTAAAAAGCTTTTAAGTCCTGGCTGGTTTGGCTCAGTGGCTAGAGCGTTAGCCTGCAGACTGAAGGTTTCTGGGTTCAATTCCGGCCAAGGGCACATACCTTGGTTGCAGGCTCAATCCCTGAGGCATGTGCGGAGACAACCAATCAATGTGTCTCTCTCAGATGAAGTTTCTGTCTCTCCCCCTCCCTTCCACTCTCTCTAAAGTGGAAAAATTATCTTCTGGTGGGGTTTAACAACAATAACAAAAAAGCTTTTAAATCCCTTCAAGCAGAAAGTGGACATAATGCAATCTAATTTAGCAGTTTAACCTTAATATCAGAATAGTGAACAAGTTTGAAAAGAAAAAGACTACAGGCAGGGAGATCAGATAAGAGGCTTATGTAGAAAATGATGATGGGTGAGTTAGGGTAGTGGAGAACCACCTGGATCAACAAGAGTTGATGACCAGTTAAAAACATAGGGAAGGAGCCCTAGCCAGTGTGACTCAGTGGATCGAGCATCAGCCTGTGGACTGAAGGGTCCCGGGTTCGATTCGGTCAAAGGTATGTACCTCAGTTGCAGGCTCCCGGCCCTGGTCAGAGGCATGCGGAAGGCAACCAATCTTCTGTCTCCCCTCTCCCTTCCACTCTCTCTAAAAATCAATGGAAAAATTATCCTTGGGGGAAGATTAAAAAAACAAAACATATGGAATGAATAGACAAAATTACTTAAATTCTGGCTGAAGTAGCAAGGAGAATCCTTGTGTCATGTAGTAAAGTAGAGAATGCCAGAGAAGGAAATTCATTTGGAGAAAAAAAATAATTGGAGCTGTGGTATTTGTAGCATTTTCAGGGCATATAAGTGGAGATGTCCAGGAGAGTTGCCTAGGATAAAGATGTAGATTTGGAAGTTAACAGAGAATAAATCAGAGTCAAGCATTATTGGGGAAACAAAAGAATTACTGCCGAATATATAGCTAAGAGCTAAAATTAGTCATGATTGGGTAGATATACCCTGTCTGTAGCCTTTTCCCTGAGAAATCTTGTTTACTTTGTATTCTTTGGCGCTGTCCAAGTAACCAAAACACTGTGTACAGGTATTTTCCCCTTGTGCTGGAAATTGCTTGAAATCTGATTAATTTAAACAACATGTATTAGTCATGGAAATAACCTTCGTTGCCTTAGCAAGTGCTATGTTTCAGACCATTGCATTTGAAACATTGTAAATGTGAGGAGATAATGTTTTAAATGTGCTTTGATAGATTTTTCCTCTAGCTTCAAAACATTTTGTAAAACTGCCATTCTGTATTTCAGGCGAGTTTTGTGGCATCTGGAAATCGGACAGATATTTCCTTAGATGATCCCAACTTCTGGCAAAAATGGGCTAAAAAGGCAGAAATAGATATAGATACCATCAGTGGTAGAGTAAGTATTTCTTTTTAAAAATATTGTCTCTTGGGATGATTTGATAATATTGTTATATTTTAAGGTATTGAACTATGTACTTACCAAAATAAATTTATCTGCATCAATGAATTGATGTAGGGTAGTAGAAGGATGACATTTTGAGTCAGACACTGCTTCAGTTTCATACTTTGGCTATTCATGATAGGTTGTAGAGCAAAGAAAGTTTAATTTAGGGTATTATTTATATCCTTTAAAATTATAATGTGTTTTTTAAAACTTTTTGTCTTTAAATCATATGTTCTTTTTATGTATCTTTGTTGACTTGGTGTCAGATCCCATTAATGATGATCCATTCAGTTGTACTCTTCTTATGTCATAAGATATTCCATGCTGAGTAGCACTTGTTTCCACATTAGTCTGACCCTCAAGACTACAGATTTTTAATGAGCAAAAGATTATAGGTATATATCTATGTGCTTAACTTAGAGAGATTTCTCAGTAAAAGTAAAAAGCATGTAAACTTAGATTGTTTTGAATTAATTAAACTAAACTGAACATAGTGAATTCACACACTTCTTGCCTTGCTTTTTGTGTTAGAGTAAAATTTGGAAAGCACTGAAACCTGTTTCTAGGCCTATAAATATTATATCCTTTGATCAATATTTCTATTCTTAGTTATTTCCCTTATTTTGAGTTTATTTTTAGGATAAACTTAGGTCACAAAAACTTATTTTAGCATTATTATTTTAAAATTTTAAAACAATCTACATTAAATTGGGAATAAGGTGAAGAAAATCAGGATTCATAAATTTAGCTTAAAATTATTTTTTATGGTTATTGCAGATGCAAAATACAATAACCTTCATATTATTTACAAAGTGAAATGCCAAATTCTTTTTAATTCTATTACTATCCTATCATAAAATTATGAATGTATGCTAATAAGGATTTTAAAGGAGTATAAAAGTTTTGGGTACGTTGGTGAAATTGTTAGTAATTTCTTTTTCTCGCTTTCTGTAATTATTTTTTATACAATTTGAAAGGTGATCATGTAAGACAGTGTTATAAGCCAAATAGAAAAAGGACCTACAAGTAATGGCTGTTAAATCTTACAGAACAGCTTGGTTATTGACACTCCAAGAATTAGGAAGCAAACAAGACCCTTTAGTGCCACAAAAGATGAATTGGCTGAATTATCTGAAGCCGAAAGTGAAGGAGAAGAAAAGCCCAAACTCCGGAGGCCCTGTGACCGTTCTAATGGATATGGAAGAACTGAATGCTTTAGAGTAGAGAAAAATCTGCTGGTTTATGGGTAAGTATTGTTTTTAACATTTACTATTAGTAGCCTGCTCTGTAAAGTTACAGAAAACCAACACTATATTCTAGTATATTTTTAACCTTGTTAAAATCAGTAGAATATATTTTAAAAGTACCCTGAATTTATATGTTTAACATATATTTAACAACAGAATGATGGGACCTTCTTACGTTTGAAATTATAAATGTATCACTAAAGTCAAACCCCTTGTTCTCAGATTTACATATTTAGTAATACAAAATGAATAATGTTATCCATTGATTAAGGAATAAAATATACTAGAAATTACTATACCATGGCTCTGCCTTTTACTCATGGGGGAAACACTTTATTAGGTAAATCCTATTGTGTGACAAAATGTGTTTTTTGCAGTTTTCATGCCATTTATCCATGAGCTATGGTTTTTCTTTAAAATTTGACTGAGGAATAATGTAAATATGTATTTTTTTACCAGATGGGGCCGATGGAGAGAGATTCTATCTCATGGTCGTTTTAAAAGACAGCTAAACGAGCATGATGTAGAAATAATTTGCCGAGCCCTCTTAGCATATTGCCTTGTTCACTACCGAGGAGATGAGAAAATAAAAGGCTTCATATGGGACCTCATTACTCCAACCGAAGATGGACAAACTCGAGAGCTTCAGAATCATCTAGGCAAGAACATTCTTTCATTTTCTTTTTAAATTTATTTTTACTTATGTAATTAGTAATTACTTAATATAGTTCCCTCTAAAATATTATAGCATTACAATGTTAAAGAACCTTTAACCTTCACCCTCAATTCAAGTTTCAACTTAGAAAAATACCAATGTTATATGTTTCTTGGGGTTTTACATATTGTTGTCAAACCTGTATATAGGTTTGCAAACTGTTGACCCCTTAGTATGTCTATGAGTCTTCCCCATTTGTATTCATGTAGAACAATTTTTGTTGTTGTTGTTAATCTCACCTGAAGATATTTTTCCATTGATTTTTAGAGAGAGTGGAGGGGAGCGTGGGAGAGAGAGAGACATCAGTTGGTTGCCTCCTGCACAGGCCCTGATAGGGGCTGGGAACCAAACCGAAGACTCTTCAGTGCTTGGGCCAATGCTTTAACCACTAAGAACACTGACCTGGGCAGAACTGTCTTATTTTTAAACCTCCTCCTTAGTAGTTTAAAGTGTGGGGATTCCATAATTTATTTTGCATCCCCTTTAATGTTGAACATTTATGACATTTTCAATTTTAGACAATTACAAAACAAGTTTTAGTGTAGGTCCTTGTACATTTCTCCTTTTGCACATTCCACCTTTTGCACATGAATAAATCTTTCACTAAAGTAAATGTTGAGAGATAGAATTGTTCAAGTATATATAAATAGCTTTAGTACCTAAAATCTCCTGTGAGCTGCTTAGAAATGCAGAATCTCAGGCCTCAGTCTTATTGAATCATAATCTGCATTTTACCAAGTTCCTCAGCAGTTTGTATGTAATTAAAGTTTGGGAAACATAGATACACATTTTAAATTTTCATAAATACTTTCATTTGCTGTCAAATGCAGCTTTACCAATTTACAGTCCAATCTGAGGTACACACAAGTATCTTTTTCTCCAGAGCATTGCTAACAGAACATTTATTTCTGTATAAAATAATTACTTTATACTTTAAAGTAATTGAATTTTCTATCAAGATTACTGTGCCCTTAAGTTTGAGTTAAATTGTGTTTTACTTAATCAACAAATACCTGTTAAAAAGTCCAGTACTTGCTTCTTGTCCTCTATACTGGAAAGATAAGAAACAAGATAGACAAGATCCCTGAGCTCATGAACCGTACATTCTGGCCAGATAGATAGAATAAGAAAGTAGGTCAAGTAACTAAATAATTACAGATTGTGACAAGTATTGTGAAGTAAATAAACTAAGTGCCAAGTTGGAGAACAATGGAAAGCAACTATTTTAGAATAGGCTGGTCTTTGGAGGCCTGTCTTAATAAGAGTCAATGAAATTATTAATGTGAATATCTAACTTCCAGTAATGACAAAAGAGTCTCACAAATATAATTTCACTCTTCTTTGACCAGGCCAAAACCTAAAGATAATGACAGGATAAAACCAGCGAGATTACCCCTCAGTGAATCCAAAACAGTAAGCTCCGCCCATTCAGGTTACCTATAAACTTTTTGGTCTGTCATTCTTAAATATGGGCAAACAACTAGGATTAGGAAAGTCTCCAATATGAGAGACAGAGTGTAAAAAGAAACTCATAAATTGAACTTGAAGTCAAAGACTATAAAAGGAGAGCACAACTTATAAAAATCCATCATTAATATCTTCAAAGATATTTCAAATAGATTTTGATTTTGAAAGATGAATAAGGTGTTATAGAAACATTCAAAGCACAAGCAGACCTCTTTTAAATTATAAGTTACATTATAAGCATCAAAAATGAAACAGTAAATAGGATTAAATGATGAATGTGAGATAATTTTGTTAGGGAAAAGTTCAAAAATATAGAACATCTACTGGTTTTATTAGGAAAATTTAAGTATGTGTCTTTAAATATGCACTGTTTAGTTTCCAAACCAACAAAGGTGAAGAGGACTGGAATGCAAAGCAGTGTTAACATAGAGCAAAATACAATTTGAGGTGGAAGGCATTGATTGGTATTTAAGAAAGGACACTACATAATAGAAAAGACCAACCCATAAAAGAAGTATGAACTTGTATGCACCGAACAAAATAGTCTCAAAATATAAAGACAACACCCGCCAAAATTTTAAGGAGAAATGGACAAATCTGCATAGTGCTTGTATTCACAATTGTGATGGAACTTCTAGCTGGTAGAATACAGCAAGGAAAAGATCACTGAGGTAAGAATTGAAAGGAGAGGGGACAGGGGACATATGTAATACTTTAAACAATAAAGACATAAAAAAAAATTTAAAAAGAAATGAAAGGAGGAATCCAAACTGCTCTAGTAGTAATTTTGAAAAATTATAAGTGAAACAACTCAAGCATCATTGAAGATTAATACGAGGTGTATAATCTTACAATAGATTTTTACACAGCAATTAAAGTGGATGAATTAGAGTCTCATGAATCATCAAGTATAAATCTCAAAAAAATATCAAGAGTAATCAGTATGTTGCCAAATTACATGTATAATATAATGTCTGATTGCTTAAATACTAAATATTTCTTCAACATATGAATATAAATATGCATGTAATGCAAAAGCAAATTCAGGGTAGTGATTCTTTCTGGAGAGGAAGGAATGAAGTGGACTTCAGCCATGTATTATTTCCTTCAATAAAAACAACCAAAGAGCAGATATTTTGACATTAACAGTGGGAATCTTTTATTGTATTTTTGAAATATTTCACAACAAAAATGACAAAGAAATAAAATGAATTTAGTTCTCTTGAACAGGAAGCCAGCTTGGCTACGCCTAATCCATGTTATTAGTAAAATCAGTTTTGAAAATCCAGGCCAAAACTTACTATTTTATAACTAGGGGAGGAAAAGTAAAGCAAAGGGGAAGGTTTGATCTTAATAGTTTTTACATTTGAAAAACAAAATGTGTCTTGGAACAAAAGAAATGAGACTCATTCATTTGAGATAGAAGAATTATTGGGGGAAGTTATCTTAATGTGTGTAATGTTGACCCATCATCTTGTGATTGAATCAGTATTGTTACCATTGATATTTTAAAGATCTCGGTATAGCCTGTACAGACCTCTGAAAGTCTCCATAAGTTCATTATGTTGAAAAAAATCTTTCAAATTGCAGATTTGTATACAGATTATCCCTGAATTCCCATGTCCTCATTTCAACAGGCCTATCAGCCCCCGTACCCAGGGGCCGAAAAGGGAAGAAAGTAAAGACCCAGACAAGCTCATTTGATATACAGAAAGCAGAATGGCTTCGAAAATATAATCCTGAGCAGCTACTTCAAGATGAAGGCTACAAAAAACATATAAAGCACCACTGTAATAAGTATGTCGTGGGGTTTTTTAACACAGCTCATTATAAGTTTATTTTTCTGAATTTTTTAACAACCTTAAAGCATGCTGATTTTGAGTACAGAGACAGTGTGGTCTAGGACTAGTCCTAATCTTAATCTTTCAGAGTATACATCCGCAAATCATGGTCCCTCTTGTGTCACTTTCAATCAACAGAGAAATAAAACTGGCCATTGTATCTTTCTTGGATATTAACAAATGTTGATTGTGAAGATTTTGGAGAAATCTATTATATATATGGTAGTAATGAGATTTAATCAAAACTAATTATTATTTCATTATAAAAATTCCACATACAAATTCTTTTCTAATTTAAACCCCATGGATGGCTTTTCTTTAGTGATTATATTTTTGTATCTTTTGACTTCTTTTTTCTTATCATTAGGGTTTTGCTTCGTGTAAGAATGCTTTATTATCTAAAGCAAGAAGTCATTGGAAATGAGTGCCAGAAAGTATTTGATGGAGTTGATGCAAGGTAAATGAAATAACTTGTTTATATTTTTCAGTAACATGATTAGGCAAAAAACTGTAACTGTCTGTATAAGTGGCTCATCTGTCAATGAAATTCACAAGAAGAAAAATTCACCAAACTTAGAGAATTAACCCTTGCTAATTTGTTACCTTCTATTTATTTATTTTTTTTAAGTGACATTGATGTTTGGGTCCCAGAACCAGACCACTCAGAAGTTCCTGCTGAATGGTGGGATTTTGATGCTGATAAGTCACTCCTTATTGGAGTTTTTAAACATGGTAAGTGAAAAGTAAGGTTGGTGGACTCTTTTTCTATGTATAGTGCTACTCGGCTAGTTCTGTTCATTGCTTTCCACTGGCAGCTTTATTCCAGTCACATTCATGTTTCTATATCTGTCATATAAAGCATTCACTTCCAAACTGTGTCTCATCACTGCATTTCCTCGTGAAGAATCAGGGGCTTATGTCCACTGTGCCCTGGACGTAGCCTCACACAGCTCCACCTCTCAGGAAGACTTCTTATGGGAAGTGTGCTGTGTATGTGTGATCAGTTTTTCCTCTTTTTCATTTTAACAGATAAATTCAATCTAAACTTTCAAATATACATAATACCAGATCATGTACTATTTGTGGTAATTTCTAGAAAACATGTATGTATCATTTTAATATCCAGTCCCTTTAGTCCAGGAATGTCATCTCCCATACATATGAGGGGTGCTTGTATGCATACATCTTTCTTTCATCTTGTTGACTTTGACCATTGGTGACCTCTCCAGGCTATGAGAAATATAACACTATCCGAGCAGACCCGGCATTATGCTTCTTGGAAAGAGTGGGGAAGCCCGACGAAAAAGCAGTGGCTGCAGAACAGAGGGCAAATGATTACATGGACGGGTATGTGCACCTCCAAGTCATGAATTCCCTATGTCTCTGCCAACGTCAGCATATTCTGTGTCACAAATAATGTAGTCACAACAGAATTGGAGTTATAGTCTAGAAAAGCTAATGTTCAGAGCTCTAGTAAGTTAGCACTTGTTCAACAGAGTAGGATCAAGGAAGAAATGGACCTGCCCACTCCCTTTTTTTTTTTTTATGAGTCCTTTAAATTTTTCATTTCTAATAGTCATGGTCATTAACGCCATAAAATTTCAGGGGTATAGGAGTGAAGAAAGCTACAACTGAAGAGAAATAAAATGTTGTTCATTATACCAGTTATAAGGCCCTTTTATTATCTTACCAAAAGAGGAAAGTAAGAGACTGTGTTAAGGTTAATAATTCCACATTTAAAAGTGAACGTGGGAGTATGAGTTAATTAAAACTAGATTTCTTCTGACTTGACATATAACAGTGTTTATGCTATGGCTTGGTTTCCCCTGGCCAAAGAACAGAGACTTCAGTCTGACTTTTAAAACACACTAAAAAGTCCTTCCCACAATATTCCACTTGTCTTGTCAAGAGAAATTTAAGTCCAGTCAAATTATTATTGAATTTGTTGGTATTTTAATAGGGATGTGGAAGATCCAGAATACAAACCTGCCCCGGCTTTCTTTAAAGATGACATAGAGGTATGCTTTAGATCATATTTTTAAATCCTCAATTTTTGTTGTTCTGTGGTTTCTTTTGTTTGGTTTTCTTTTGTGTGCTTTTTCTAACACATAATCTGTGGAGTGGGGGAGGCAATGGTAAAAGAGATGAGAAATTTCCATATTATATTTGAGAGCATGCTGAAAGACTAGATGATGTTATAGCTGTCAGGTAGGATTTGCTGGTTGTGGGAGCGACGGGGCTACCAACAGGGAGGTTTCTAGGGAAGGCTGCTGGCCAGCAAGTGCTAAAGAAGCCGCCTGAACTACAGGAAGTGGCGCTGGGGGAGCCGTGTGTGCCATGGGAGCTGAGCAATGGGGAAACGTTCCAGAATCAGGAAGTCAAATCATTGTTCTCCTACAGTGTCTCTCAAGTTCCCACTACTAACAGAACTTATCATGCTGGCTAAGAAAAAAATATTTAAAGAGCCCACATCCGTTTTCTTAGAGCTAACAAGAGGCATTGAGAGAGGCAATAAATTTAGAGCTGAGGCAATACATCAATAACCAGCACAGTGGAATACATAAAGAAATTTTTAGAGACAAAGAATAGCATGATAATATCTTCACAGTATGCAAAATAAGCATTCCAGGAGAGACCAGAAAGCATAAGGGAGAAGAATTTTTCCAGATTTGATGAAAGACATGAATTCTCAGATTCAAGCAATAATGTGAATCTTGTCAAGATAAATAAAATTAAATCCACTCTATTCCTGCTGGAACTATAGATACACCAAATGAAGAGATGTTAAAAATTAACCAGACAAAAAAAGACCCACCCAGAAAAGGATGATAAATCTAAATTTAGGCTTTTCTAAAACAATACAAACTAGTAGTCATTGGAATAAAACCAAAGTTATAAATATGTTAAGTTTATAATAAAGTTACAATGCCTAATTGAAGATGCTCTGTTGACAGATAAAAATTAGGTATACAGCACAAGCAAATTGTTCAGGATTAAACAGAAAAGATCTGAAGGTTTTCTAATAACCAAATATGAGAATGAGTAAGTTATGTGAGAGTTGGTATAAAAAAACCAGTTGTAAATAAAACCTGAAGCATTTTTACAATTAGAGAAAGGGTAGAGGAAAAGAAACCCATTTAAATGTAATCATAGAAAAGAAAATAATTTTAGTAATGATTGATCTAAATATCAAAGTCATAGAGAAATACAAAGGGGTGAGAATTAATAACAGATTATAGTTTTTATTTTTGCTAAATTTATTATTTAAAGAAGTTTGATTCGCTTTTCTTATCTGTATTTTGACCCAATGACCCTGTGACAATTTCTTTTTTCTTTTAAAAGGATGATGTTTCCTCACCAGGAGATCTTGTTATAGCAGATGGAGGTAAATTGCATTTAATTATTTAATATTATTGTAAATTAATATTCTCATAATACCATGAGATCAAAAACTAATAAATTTTTGTAATGCTTCAGATGTATGTGAAATTTTGTTGAAGACAGTCATAATGACTATTGGACATACTAGTTGACTGAGAATTTAACAATATTTTTACCTGCAAATCTTTACTCAGTCCTCAGTGAGTTGTTAAGCACAGAAGCTGATTTTTTTATGTTTTGATTATTAAACTCATATGTGAGATTTTATCATTAAAGTGTTAATTCAATAATTCATTCAGCTTGTTATTAGTTCCATATGCACATTAGGGAACATTCTACACAGCTTTACTGTGCAGGGTCTTCTTCTTTGTGATATCCAGACAGGAAAGCACTGTCCCTAGAGTACACTCATTACCTCCTGTAAACCAAGGGGAGCCCTTGCATAATTTCACTCAGAACTAAAGAGGAGATTTGCTTAGCATGAATGATTCCTGCTTGGTGGTGGTATATTTAAGTATAATAATCACACCCCGGAAATGGACAGTAAGATCCTGCACTGTATTGGGTATATACAAGCTTAAAGATTGTAGCATTATCCTATTGAAATATAAGTTCCCCTCATCCTATTGTAAAATGTTTTGATTCCAGTTAAGTGGAGATAAATTTAATACAGAATAGATCAATTAGAAAAGTTTACAGTATTCAATTTCTCATGGATTTCAATTTGACTTTTCATTGAAGGCATTGAGTACTAACCAGCCAGTAGGATATATTAGACCTGTTGATGCAAGAGTTGTATTTTCTGTGCAAGTAGAGTTCTCTTTAAATATATAACGTGGTTCTTCATTCTACTGTGATTACTTATTTTGAGTTGCTCTTAATGCTTGTTGTAATGTTTTTAGAGCTATAGTTAAAACTATTTAATGATGAGAGATTTGGTTTGATTTTTCACATAATCAGATTGAAAGAAAAATTTTTTAAGTAGGGAACTTTTGCTACTTTTGTAAACTTCATCATAGTGTTTGGTTTTGTTTTTAATTTTGTTTTTTAGTCTTTTTCAATTGACATGAGTTTCTTTAAATACAGATGGTCAACTGATGGAGGGTGATAAAGTTTATTGGCCTACTCAGTCGGCTTTAACCACACGTTTGAGGCGTCTCATCACTGCATATCAGCGCACTAATAAAAATAGACAAATCCAGCAAATCCAACCTACTTTCTCAGTGCCTGCCAACGTCGTGCAGCCTCTTTATGAAGAAGCCACTCTTAATCCTAAAATGGCAGCCAAGATAGAAAGACAGCAAAGGTAAGACAATAAATCACACTGTACTATATAGTATCTAAATATAGTTGGTCATTCTGAAGGCTGTTAGGGTGTGATTAGTCACTTTGTGAAAAGCATATATGGGTAGAGAAATTGGTCAAAACAAAACATATACACATATGCATAAACACATACCCAAATATGGCAAAACTAGTAAAGATTATTGCAGTTTATGGTTACTAGCCATACTTGTCAGTTCTTCATTCCTTTGTCATGTTTATGACCAGTTTGATGTGAAAAAAATGAAAATGCAGAGCAAGCTCAAGAATTATCAATGAAACTTTTAAATTACATAAGATAAATTCCATTCTCTCTTTCTTTAAATTATGACTTCTATGAACTATTAGAATCTATGAAAGACAAATCCATCTATGCTTTATACACAGGAAGAACCCTTGGAACTGCTATGTCAAAAGGGAACAAATGGTAGTAGAACTTCTTACAAGGACCCTGTGAAGAAAACAGGCAAACTTCTCCCATCCCAAAAACTTCACTTTTTAAAAATGATAGAGTACACAGAAAAGAATAGCAATGTTTAGCAATAACCTGCCCCCTTATTAAACCTGATCCTTGGATATTCTCTGGGAGTTGAATCGGGGGTTGTTGGGGTTTTTTGGTGGGGTTTTTTTTGTTTTGTCTTTTGGTGTATGTTTTTTCCCCATTTGCAGTTCATCATTGTAACCAGAGTTTACTTAGTCTGAAACTTTAGATTTTAGCAATTCTAGACATAATTTTCAAATACTACTAACTCTGTAACTATTTCTGTTATCTATCACTGTATCACAACCCAGCCCAAAACATGATGACTTAAAACAACATCAGCTTTTCATTTCTCACATTTAATTGTGTTGACCACGTAGTTGTGCTTCTCCTGGTATTGGCTAGAAGGTCTGAAGTGGCCTCATTCCCATGGCTGACTGGCTGCCAGCTGGGAGCACAAATCTAAGAGGGAACCTTCCTAGTGGCAGAGGCAGAAGCTGCAGATTTCTTTCGGGCCAGCCTCTGCACTACAAAGTGTCACTTCTGCCACCTACTGTTGGTCAAAAAAAAGTCACAGGGCCAACCAAGATTTGAGGGAAAGAGAAATAGATTATACCTCTCAATGAGAAGATTAGCAAATAATTTGTGGTCATCTTTACTCCACATACATTTTCCTCAGTCTATGGGGTCTGAATTAATCTTCCTAAGATACTAGTTTTATTATGATACTCAGTGACTCCTTATTTATTATAGGTGTAAAGTCTTAAGTTCTTGAGCCTTAGTTCAATTTAGGCATCATTGTGCATTTCTGATTTTATCCACTATTGTTCTCTCAGCCAGAATGACCTCCTCATTATTGATTTAACACCCTATCACCTGTAATAATACTCTTTTTCGTACTCTCTAGTCCATACCTACTCCATCCTTCAGAGCTCAATACATATCCAAGCCTTTATGGTACTGATTTTTTTCTCAACCAGTTCAGCTTACAGTACTCTCTCTGTTTTCTGCACTCTTATAGCACTCATTTAAATAAATGACTCATTTGCATAATAATTTAAGATGTTGTAATGACATTTATTTTTCCCTTTCTGTGTCTGCCTAAGTCGTAAATTCTTTGAAGATAGGCACTGTGGTGTGTTTTGTTTTCTCTCTGTGCACTCTTCTAATTCATCCTTTTTTTCCATTCCTACTTTTATCACTCTTTTGCAAGATTCATATGACTTGATTGGTTTCCCAGACTGACAGTTTTTACAACATCATTACATTAGTCTTCTTAATGCATCACTATGAAAAAAAAGGTCACCTGTTAATGTTCTTCAAAGGACTTTCTCATGTTCTTTTTCTAATTTACACAACAGTTGTGTGAGTTAAATATTACCCTCTTAAGTATCTCTATTGAATAGAGACTATTTTTAGGCAGGCATTTAGAATATTTCCTAATCTGTCCCTAGTATGAGCCATCTCCCCCCCCCCCCCCCCCCCCCCCCAAATGTAGATTTCTCCCTACTTTGCTTATTTGGTGCCCTCTTTCTTACATGCCCTGCTAATCTTAGCTTGTTCCAACTTAAATACCACTCTTTAATACTTTATCTCATCATGCAAGTCTGAATTGATCCTTCTTTCTCCTGTGCTCTCCTAATAGTCTTGGTTTCTACCTTATACAATAAACATGTTTTAAATGTTTTATCTTTTTCCTGAAGGTAGAGTCATCATATCTTACATAATCTTGTATCTTGTGCATATTTTCTTACATAAACGTGCAAAAAACTATTGTCTGAAGGAAAAGAAGCGTAGTTGGAGGGATGAGTCAACTAGTATTTTTAAATGTATTTACAAGAAAATATCCCTGGATTTAACCCTTTAAAGTGTTAGGTACTTGCAGTGTTTTAAGTGTTTATTCTGGTCATTATATTTGGCATTAATAAATGTTTATTTCAGTAACCAGTATGACTTTTTCTTCCATCTGATTCAAAATAGATGGACAAGAAGAGAAGAAGCTGACTTTTACAGAGTGGTGTCTACATTTGGAGTGGTATTTGATCCTGACAGAGGTCAATTTGATTGGACAAAATTTAGAGCTATGGCTAGGCTACATAAGAAAACTGACGATAGCTTGGAGAAATATTTGTATGCATTCATGTCTATGTGTCGGAGGGTTTGCCGTCTTCCTTCCAAAGAAGGTATGTATAAAATTCCTTTCTTTCCCCTTGTTTTGGTCAAAGAAGCAAAATCATTAACATGAAATTTTCTTTTATTATTTTTTATTGAATTTATTGGGGTGACATTAGTTAATAAAATCAGAAATTTTCAATATTGTCTAATTCAACAAGTCAGCACTTTTCCAGAATTGTAAATAAAGTATGCCAAAATATCCCCAATTCCTTCTTCCTATTAAAATGAGATCTAAAGAGAATAAAGGTGCACATTGTGTTTGAGAAAATAGCTAGTGTTTTATTAGATTTATGATTGGGCGAGGTAGCAGATGAAGGATAGCTTTTAGTAAACAGCACTAACTTACATTTTAGCCCACAGGAACTGATCGGAACTATGCTAGAGGGCGTATTTACATGCATTATTTTGCAGGGAATGAGGCCTTCATGCAAAGGACATTTTAAAGAGTTTTAGTAAGATGAAATCACCCAGGGCCTTCAAAAAAGACAACTAATCCCAGGTGCTGATGCTCATCTAAGGGACGGTTCCAGGGTAAACTTCATGGTTTTTGAAGCTGTCAGCAGTTCCACTTAGTAGTGCTATGTTGTGAGCTGCTGTCTTCATTCTTTGTTGAGTAAGATTTCTGCCTCCTAAAGCCATTGGCTTCCTACTCCTATTTCATAGTAAGTGTATTATAAAAGGACTTAAATTCCATGGCTTGGTTTCCTTTTTTCCCCCCTAACAGATTTATTGTCAGTCCGCTAAATAGAGTAGCCAATCACTTGATTCCCCAAATAACAGGTAATTCGAGTAGGTGTTAGTCTGAGTCAAGGTCTGTTGTAACCATGAGTGGGTTTTAAAAGCTGGACAATGAATAGTGCTTCGTCTCCCATTAGTGATGGGTGCCGAGAGGAGAGGCCTCATTTCCTTTTTACCTTCTTCATTCCGACAGCAGTGTAAAGCTATGTCGATAAGTTCACCACATTTGATTCCAGGTTTAAAAGAGCAGGGGAGGGTTAGTTACTAAATGATGATTGAAAAGGTAGCTCTTTTTTGTTAGACTTTTGAGTGAGGTTTCATTTACTTAGCTCAGTTTCCCAAACTTCCTCAGTTCACGGCGCCCTTAATGTCTCTGAATTTTTCACAGCACCTGAGGCCTAATAGTTCTGTTTAATAAATAATTAGGTTCGCCCTAACCGGTTTGGCTCAGTGGATAGAGCGTCGGCCTGCGAACTGAAAGGTCCCAGGTTCAATTCCGGCCAAGGGCATGTACCTTGGTTGCAGGCACATCTCTAATAGGAGGTGTGCAGGAGGCAGCTGATCGATGTTTCTCTCTCATCAATGTTTCTAACTATCCCTCTCCTTTCCTCTCTGTGAAAAATCAGTAAAATATATTTTAAAAAAATAATAATTAGGTTCAAACGGCTTAAAAAGTTTCCGTGTCCTGCCCTAACTGGTTTGGCTCAATGGATAGAACGTCGGCCTACAGACTGAAGGGTCCCAGATTCGATTCCGGTCAAGGGCATGTACCTTGGTTGCAGGCACATCCCCAGTAGGGGGTGTGCAGGAGGCAGCTGATCAATGTTTCTAACTCTCTATCCCTCTCCCTTCTTCTCTGTAAAAAATCAATAAAATATAAAAAATAAAAAAGTTTCTGTGTCCTAACAGTCTAGTAATTGCTTAAAAACATAGCATAAATTGAGTGAAAAAAAAAATAATGTTATTTCTTATATAACCCTAGTTACTTACTAATGAATAGGATGTGTGCACCTGTTGGACACTGTACACCTTCTCAGATCTTGGAAGTAGAATAGATACTCCCACACTCTTGTTTGCTGTTCCATATTGATTTTTGCATAGTCCGTGGTTTGTTTTTACCTTTTTTTTTTGAATGACTTTCAGAAAAGTTGCAAAAACCAATCAGAGAGTTCTGTAGATCCTTGCTTTGCCAGTATCTCTGCTGACAAAGATATGACCTCATCAAAAGGAATAAATATAGCCTGTTAAAACTGAATTAATTATCTGAAACTAGTAGTTCATACAGTGTTTGACGAATGTCCCCTTGTTTCCTTCAAATTGTAAGAAAGCCTTTGGTGAGTTCTCTGTATTGCCTGAGTTTCCTCATGTAGTTAGGGATATGTGGACTTACGTTTGTTTATGGGGCATTTAACAGTTTTAATTTATATATTTATAAGTGAGGTCAACTAAGTTTTGCTCTTTGATTAAGGCACAGAATAGTAAGACATGATTCATGAGGAATTTCTTAAAAGTAAATTCCTATTTATATTAACGTACTTCCAAAAATTCATAATGTTTTACTTACTTTGTGTAGATCCAGTATTCGCATATTTTATGTTATATGACTTTTGGTACTTCTTTTTAAACTATATTCTCATTTTGAAAAGAAATTATGGAAACTATACAGTGATGTGAGGTAGAGGTACATTTTAGAAGTTGCATTATTTGTTTTAAATCTATACTAAACTATTTTTGAGGTTAATATCTTTGCTCTGTTTTAATGTAGAATTGGTGGATCCAAATATTTTTATTCAGCCAATCACAGAAGAACGTGCTTCTAGGACTTTGTATCGCATTGAACTTCTAAGGAAAGTAAGGGAACAGGCGCTCCGCCATCCGCAATTGTGTGAACGCTTGAAGCTTTGCCATCCAAATCCAGACTTGCCAGTCTGGTGGGAATGTGGCCCTCATGATAGGGACTTGCTTATTGGAGCCGCTAAACACGGGGTGAGCCGAACAGACTATCACATCCTTCGTGATCCTGAACTCTCATTTATGGCAGCACAGAGGAGCTACAGTCAGAATAGGATGGCTCATTCAAGGACCTCCACGCTGCTGTTACAGCAATATCAAGTAGCACTTTCTGCTTCTCCTCTGACCTCTCTACCTAGGGTCCTGGATGCTAAAGGTACTGCTCTAGAGGACCTGAAAGTGAAAAATGAAAACCTGAAAGAGGAGCCTCAGTCTTCGGAAGAGGAATCCATGTCTTCTGAGGAAACCAGGACACTAATAAAGTCTGAGCCTGTAAGTCCAAAGAATGGTGTTTTACCACAGGCTGCTGGAGACCAGAAATCTGGCGGGAAAGGGGAAGCAGATAGACGCATGGTTGCCGCCAGAACAGAACCCCTGACTCCAAACCCTGCGTCTAACAAACAGCGCGTCCACAAAAGAGGGTCAGCATCTAGTTCAGACTCTGACTCTGATTCCGAGAGGTCCTCCTGTTCTTCCAGATCGTCGTCTTCCTCGTCTTCCTCCTCCTCTTGTTCCCACTCTCGTTCAGGCTCCAGTTCTTCTTCATCCTCCTCTTGTTCTTCAGCATCGTCTTCATCCTCATCGTCTTCCTCCTCCTCCTCCTCCTCTTCATCGTCATCAGAAGAAAGTGACAGTGAAGAAGAGGAAGTCCAAAAGCGAGGTATATGCATAAAGTGCTGTTGCTATTTTAAGACAGGATTACAGGTGAAAAGGAAAAAAATTGGTTTTGATAACTTAAGGGTGTTTAAAATTGTGAGCTTACATGTTATGTCTACAGATTTTCTTAGAGAAGCACTATTGAAAAGGAAACTAGAATTACTTTAATTTTCAGGGCATTGCCAAGTGAGTTTGTCAAACAGAGGTATTAACACAGTAATTTTATTTCCTTGTGATTGCCTTAAATTTAGTATTATAGTTTTACTGGAACAAGTTGATCAGTGAACAAATGAAGATAATGTTCTATAACAGCCACCAGGATTCTTTGATTAAGCAGTCAGACCAATAAGAATGTCCTAGGCCTTACTTGGCAGCTGTCTATTCAGGAAGATGCAGGATAGGAACTCTCAGCAGAGGAGTGGGCAGTGGTCCTCTTGTGCAGGCACCCTGGCAGCAGTCCAGTTCGGCTACAAGTAAGTGAGTTAACATCACGTGGGCACAGTGGACACTAGGGCTTAAAGAGCCTCCATACCTCACAGAGGCTGGAATCTCCCAGAGCAGCTGCATAGGCACACATTTCAGGGCTGCCCATGGGGCACGCCCAATTTACAACAGTCCTTTCCTCGAGAGTTACAGTATCCCCATCTGATACTTAGGGTTCTCTCAGTCCAGAGATAGGCTATCAACCTGCTGCTTACCTGTATTGGGGAAACAGATCTAGAGAGTTAAATGAGAGTCATTCTTACGCATTAAAGGATGTTCTGTTAACCCTCTGTCCTCGAACTTCTTAGTGTCATTTATTTTACTTTTGTGCTAATTTTTAAAATGATGAGTATTGTATTCTACTTGAATTTTCCCTTTTTTATTTTTACAATTTTTTTGCTTCTAACTTTTTCAGATGTATCTGAATAATTATATGAGATTTGAAGTTTGTAGTCTGATTAGACAGTTTCAATTGTTGTTAGCAGGAGGTACCCCTCACATGAAAGCCTACGATGAAGAAAGCGTTGCATCACTGAGCACTACCCAGGATGAGACCCAGGACAGCTTCCAGATGAACAATGGGACACCAGAGTCTGCCTACATCTTACACAGTGGATACATGCTGGCAGCTTCCTATTGGCCAAAGGCAAATTAATATTTCCTTGTTGAAATAGTTCTCCTTTTTTAGTATTTTTCTATATTGCTTTATTATGTAGAAAAACAGGTCACTCAAAATGTAGGATAACGTTTTAGTGTTGGCATTAAAAATATCAACTATTAAATAAATTAGATCTGCTTAAATGTGTATGTTTCTCAATATAACCTTAGAATGTCTAGAGTAAAAGAAAATGAATTATTTTGTTCATAAAGAAATTAATATTCAAGTGCTTCTTTACTAAATGAGTGCTTTCAACTGAGCCTCCTTGGAGAAATTAATCATAGCAAGTTCTGACCCAAGGGGGAAAAAGGGAAAAGGTCATTTAAGTGTACGTATATTCAGTGGCAAGAGTTTCGATTGGATTAATACAATTCTTCCAGTATATGAGTAGTCTAGTACAAGACTATTTACCTTTGGAAGTGATGTTGGGACATGGAGGAATAGAGAACTCTCTACTCTTTTATGTACTTCTGGGTTGTTTGAATTTATTTTTACAGGGAACCTGTATTATTTTTGTCATTATAAAAACAAAACTATAGAAAAAGTATCTTTATAATATATTTTTTAACTTCACCAGTGGGAATTTGTGTTTGAATAACTTCATACAGAATTGTGATATGTGTCTGAGAATATGCATACCAAATACACATCTGTTGTTAGCATTAGATGCAGCAAGGCTTGGAGCCATTTGGTATTCAAAGGTCTGGCCTAATTATTAAAATTAAACTTGGATATGGTATGCTCTTCCAGGATCGTGTGATGATTAACCGGTTGGACAGTATTTGTCAAACAGTTCTGAAAGGGAAGTGGCCTTCAGCTAGAAGAAGTTATGATGCCAACACAGTGGCTTCTTTCTATACCACAAAGCTGCTGGACAGCCCTGGCGCAGCCACAGAGCTTCGCGAGCCCCGTGTGCCCACTCCTCCCCGTGCCGGTGTGAAGGAAGAACATGATCAGTCAGCACAGATGTCAAAGGTGAAGAAGCATGTACGAGAAAAGGAGTTTACAGTGAAAATCAAAGACGTATGTGTATTTTTATTGCCCTAGGGCCTGGTTGCGATTGTGGTGTGCAGCATGCTTTTCCTGCAAATGGCTGCCTGCTCTTACTCTTACTTCCTTCACATACTTGTTTTCTGGTATTTGGATTATTTTCCTTTTGATATCCAGGTTATTAAACTTGAATACTCTACTAGAGGGATCATCATTAAATATGTTTCTCTACCTATACTTCTGAAAATAGTCCTTCTGCTGATCAAGATGCTTTCTTAAACAGTCTGACAGTTTCTAATGTTTCGGTTCTTCTATATAATCTTTCAATGGTATGTCAGTGCACTTTCTGTTTTAAACATTTAGCATGCCCTGTTTTCAGTAACCTTTCATTTTTTTCTATGTGGTTTTTGAAGCAAAATTTACTACTCAGTGTCTTACACTCTCTAAAATGTCATTTGAATAACGTATATAGAGATGTATGTCCATAGCTGAAAGTAACAGTGTATATTGGTCATGTGAAAAACTTTGTTTTGCTCATAACAGTGTGTATAGTGCCTGGATTTTTTTTTTCCACTTCAGATAGACATTGATTTAATGTTTTCTTCAATTGATTTATGAGCAAAAGAGAGATAACTTAATATTTCAGGGTTACTTCACTTTTTCTAAGTAAAACATTTCTCTAGGAATCCTGCAATGAGATTATGTAAATTGTTCCTTACTTAATAATGGTGATTGTTTCCTAGGAAGGTGGTTTGAAGCTGACATTTCAGAAGCAAGGATTTGCTCAGAAAAGGCCACCCGACACTGAAGACTGTGGGCTGGGCCAGCAGCAGCACCTCCCTCGGCTGCGGGAGCTCCAAGGTGCATCCGAGACCAGCCTTGCCAGTGTTGCAAAGTGTACGCCCGTGTCAGGTGAATATCCTGGTAGTAACCGCCTTAGCATGAAGTATTTCCTCTCATTTCCAAAGCCTCTTTTATCTGCTCTCATAATAAAAAATCACTTGTCCTTCAGTGTTAAAGCATAGAGGCCAATGTAGTTTTGGGAGCTTATATATTTGGGTGAAAATATCATTTTATCAAGTAACTTTATTCAGATAAGAGTTCAGATAGTATTTCAACATGAGAATAAATTATAAATTTAAAGAAAAACACTTAAGTCACTCGTGAATGGTGTTTGGTAGAGGAAGTTAAAGTGAGAAGCTTTGGAAAGATTATAGCAACAGTATAGTGAAGGTAGCCACAAGATACAGGAATAACATGTCTCATCCCTGAAAGAATGGTCTTTTATTCTCATGGGACACGTGCAGGAACAAGATTGTTATTGGAGAGAGATTTGTGTAAGATCAGAGCCTACTTAGGAAGGTGAATCTTGGTTATGGGCAACATAAAAAACTGAGCTGGGGCCCTAGCTGGTTTGGCTCCGTGGATAGGGCACATTCCCAGGTTACAGGCTCGATCCCCAGTTAGGGGCGTGCAGGAGGCAGCTGATCAATGATTCTCTCTCATCACCAATGTTTCTATCTCTCCCTCTGTCTTCCTCTCTGAAATCAATAAAAATATATTTAAAAAAAAAAAAGCTGAGCTGGGGAGGTATTGGTGTTAGTGTTCATGCAGGAATGGGGGTTAATATAAGACATTTCATTTACATTAGAATAGGAGGCCCTGAGAAGTTCTTATAAAACAGAATAGTATTTTTTAAAGTGGTACATTAAATTAAGAAAGTTTATTACAGTTAAAATATACTATAGTGAAAGAATTTTCAAATCCTTAATTTGAATTGGATAATAATTTGTTAATCTGATTATAATAAAATTTACTGTGTGGGCATAATGAAAGCATTTATATGCAAAAATGATGTTTAATCGTTGCAGTTAGTTATTTGTTACTGTATGATTTGAATTTTGGCACTTTTTTGAAACTGAGAAGTAGGAAGATAGGTAACTTTTATACGGTTGTACAGTCAGCCAGAGGGTATGCTAATTTCAGGGATTCACAGGACTTGCTCAAAAAATTCTCCCTGAATGATTGAAAATATATTTCACACTGTGAACCATTTAAAACAAAGATCTGGTCCTTAATTATATTTTCTCTTAGTAAGAGTGCTCTAGGTTCTATAATACTCTTTAAGGAAAGGAACTGCGTTCTTACTCTTCTTTGAACTATCATAGTACCTTGTATGTAGGTATTTGATAAATATTTACTTATTGGAATGACTGAATGCATGGAACTGTTTCATTTATATGTCTTTCAAACATTTTTTATTTGATCAAGTGCCTAATGAAATAAGCAATGAGAAAGGTCAGTTTAATTTTGTAACTAAACAGTTAGTGGTGATGTTTAAGAAAATACCTTAAGTAGGCTGGGGCAGAATGGACTATGGGAAATTCAGGAATGAGTTCATTGCAATAAAGAGGAACACAATAGAGACAAACCTTTTAAACATTTTAAAAGTTGTAAAAAAGGCAGAAGTTGTTCATTTTTCATTTTTTTGAGTTAGGCCATGTTTTTAAGTTTAGAAGAATTTAATGTAGAACAAGACATTTTGGCACAAGGAAGCAAAGATAAGTTATAAAACAAGCTGCTCGCAAAAGTAGGAATAAATGGATTCAAAGAAAAGGGAAAGGTTTATCTTGTACACAAGAAAGGCATGCTTCTACCTCTAAAAGGGGAAGTACAAGAAGATAAGTGAATATCTGGAGGGGGGGGAATATTAGTAAATAAATCAAAGGTTAAAAGAGGCCTCAAATTACAATTCTCCAAATTTTTAAATGACAAATTGTTGGTGTTTTTAGTCATAAAAATTGCTTGATTTAGGACATATAAACTAGAACTAACACTTCCATGTATTTAAAAAAGTGATAGCTTTTAATAAATTTAAGAACAAGATTTTTATCACTATTTTTCATTTTAAATTTGATTAGGTACTTCCAATCAATCTGCTGCTGGTGCCAATGGAGTTATATTAGACAACCAGCCTATAGTCAAAAAAAGGCGGGGAAGGAGGAAGAATGTAGAAGGTGTTGACATCCTCTTTTTTAACAAAAATAAACCACCCAATCATGTAAGTAAAAATATACTTAAAAACTAATGATCCTTGAGGGCAAAATTCAACCAAAGAAACATATATTACTGTTTTGTGAATGTTTTGTAGACTAATAATTAGGAAATTAGAAGTACACTACATAGTTTTAGATTGTATCTCAGTAGAATTTCACACTGGCCAAGATTCATGAAAATCTTAAATTTGAAAGATTTTGCAGACGTTTAAACAACTTATTTTTTTATTGTTCAAAAGGAAATCTTTTATTAGAACAAAATTAGAATAATAAGCATGGAAATAACATTTTCATTTGGTGTTTTCTCCAGGTTACTTTGGGCTTAACCACCTCCCAAATTACTCCAGGGATAAACCCAGCACTGTCCTATCCTCAGCCTCAAGGCATTCCTGACACAGAAAGTCCAGTCCCAGTCATTCACCTGAAAGATGGAACAAGACTTGCTGGTGATGATGCACCGAAGAGAAAGGATTTGGAAAAATGGCTTAAGGAGCACCCAGGTTATGTGGAAGATTTAGGAGCTTTTATTCCTGTAGGTGATCCTTTACAAATCTTGGTATATGTTATTTCTATGATTTACCAAACCTATAATGATGAAGCTTAAATTCTCACCCACTTATATTAAATATGTATTCTGCCCAAGACTTAGAGGAAAATTCACAGAAAGAAATAATTACGACCTTCCCCATGATACAATCCAGTGTCATTTTTCATTTTTCCATTCTGCGTTCCACAAGTATTTAACAAGAAAAATCACCTTTGATAACACAGAGTACTGCTAGACTCAGTACAGGCTGTAGAGACATAAAACTTCCCGTCCTTTCCCACAAGGGGCTTGTTTTAAAATAATAATAATGGTCATTGCTGACATTTATTGAGATTTAGCTGTGCTTGTCTTTACACTTAGCACTTAACATGTATTATATCATTTAACACAACTTGATCAAAATGGCATTGTTATGACTATTTTATAGATAAAGAAATTTCAATGCCAAAACCGGTTTGGCTCAGTGGATAGAGCGTAGGCCTGCGGACTGAAAGGTCCCAGGTTCGATTCCGGTCAAGGGCATGTACCTTGGTTGCGGGCACATTCCCAGTAGGAGATGTGCAGGAGGCAGCTGATCGATGTTTCTAACTCTCTATCCATCTCCCTTCCTCTCTGTCAAAAAAAAAAACACACAATAAAATATATTTTAAAAAAAAGAAATTTCAAGTACATTGTCTAAGGCCTCATAACTAATAAGTCTTAAATTCAGTATCTAAACTAGTACTTTTGGGCGGGCTACAAGGGGTCAATGGAAGAAAAAGGATATATGTAATACTTTCAACATAAAGATTTAATAAAAAATAAATGAATAAACTACTAGTCTTAAGCTCTTCTTCAAGTTATAAGGATACAGCTGTGTCTCTCCAGATGCACAATTAGTTACGTTAATCAAAGATGAAAATCATTATATTTCTTTTTTTATTTGCCCGCAACCTGGGCATGTGCCCTTGACCAGAATCAAACCCAGGACCCTTCAGTCTGCAGGCCGATGCTCTGTCCACTGAGCCAAACTGGCTAGGGCCGAATCGTTATATTTCATTTCCTTTTCCATATCCCTGAAATACTACTCACCACCTTATGAGCATTTGGCTCTTCTCACTCATAGAAACCTATTATTTCATTTTGCAATATGTTACTTACAGATACTGATGTACCAAATTTTGTGCCCATCCCCCTTGACATTTCTCTGTACTACTCACTACCTTATGAGCATTTGGCTCTTCTCACTCATAGAAACCTATTCTTCCATTTTGCAATATGTTACTTACAGATACTGATGTACCAAATTTTGTGCCCATCCCCTTGACATTTCTCTGTACTTTATTAAGAAAAAGAGTAAAGCATATCCTTCATACAGTGACCCTAGCAGGCCTGCTCCATCTGCCTCCATTATGAATAGTAAATGGATAAGCCATTGAGTCTCTCTACTACCCTGTGAGCTTCTTAAGGACTGTGTCCTATTCACCTTTGTATCCTGAGCACTTAGCACATCATACCTGATACATAGAAGAGTATCTGGCTCCCTGTATATATTTATTGAGTCAGTGATTAAGAAATGAAAATCTGAGGTCTATATGCACAGTGATTATTTCATTAAGAAAAAGAAAATTAATTACCTTGTTTTTTTGTTTAATGAAAAGGAAGTATAAAAGCTCCAGTGCCTAGAATGGGGCTGTGTCTGTAATGCATATTTTAATGTATTTGTATCTGTAATATATATTTAGTTCAGAATTTTACATTTCTATTACTGTCACCATGAAATGACCTACTAGTCTGGAACAGAGGCCCTCGGTCTTAGTTGTTGAATTTCTGTCAGATCTCTAGTTTTTCTCAAAGGATACCACAAATTCTTGAGCTTTCATTTAATTGCTTTTGATTTTAAGCAAAAGGCCAAATAAAGCTCTTAAAATTCTGAGGAGAGGGGTTTTCACTAATCTGGTGAGCAGTCATGGAATGAACATTTCAATTAAAAAAATAATGAGAATTGTTAGTTTAGCGCTATAACTTTACAGGTTACAAAATAATATGTATTGTCAGTAAATTTTTATTAAAACTATTGTGTGCTGGTTGCTATTTTAAAAGATTCTTATACCTTTCTCTTATTGCGGCAAAGGAATCTTTATTAATTGTTTAAACTTGTATCCATTTATTATTTTTCACTGCAAATTAACTTTATATTATAATGTTTTGTATAATTTTGTTAAGATTTTAACACTTTTAAAAGCAGCTTTTATTACAATAAAGTATATGAAATAATAACTAGTTTAACTTTCCTAGGATACTTTAAATATTTAATGATCACATGTGCTATTGTGATCTATCTATAGCTAACTAATTATAACATGGTGTGTGTATACTGTAACAGGGGTATGTATAAAATGCCAGGGAAGCAGATAAAAGAATGATTACTCTGTATAGGCAGTGTAAAGTATCTGGGGAAAGACAGAAGGAAAATAGAGTTGACATGTCACTGATGGATCATAAACGAATTACTGGGCATTTGACCATGTTATTACAGAGGAGCATATTCTAGGCATTATAAAACAATTATGAAGAGAGTTAAATGAGGATAGGAATGTAAGGCATATACATAAAATAATGACCAGTTTGATATTCTGAATTTGTGGGGGAATAGTAACTGGATGAAAAGGTTGAATTAGATTCTGGCTGTGATGGGATTGGTATGCCACGCTGAAGAGTTTGAGCATTAGTGCCTTTAAGTGTTCTGATTGGTTGGAAGGAGCTATAAACATCCAGCTCTGTTTTGTTGACAGTTGCAAAACTAAGCAGCATGGTTTGATGGAAAGAGTTGTTTTGTTTTTTTATAGCAAAGGTGGAGATTTTTTGAAGAACAAGTACAGACTCCCTTATGGGAGAAGGGGGAAAGAGTCCCACAGAACGGACTCCCACGTGGGAAGGGGGAAAGGGTCTCCAAAAAAGTTGTTATTGCAAGATATTGCCACTCACAGGCTGCAGGACCTTGAGGGAGATGAACTCTGAGCCTGAAGTCTCATTTGTAAAATAAGAGTAATGTCTTTGAGTATTGTGACAATTATATGAGAAGAGATAAGAAAGTCTGTCGGTGAGATGACGAGAAATGAAAGCCACTAGCCCACCTGGCACACATACAAATTGAGTCAGAGCCCAGAGAAAATCTGATGTTTCGGGTGAAATTTGCCAGGAAAAGAAGTGAAGAACTCTACAATTTAGAGGAAGCTGTCCCAGCATTATTGGTAACTTCTTTAAGCAGTGCTCTAGGGACACAGTGGTCTTTGAAGGCATTAAAGAAGGAACTAGCAATGTCTTTATGTTGGGAGCCTATTCTCATCCAGAATGATCATGATGCATTATCCTTATGATGGCCTAGAATAATGTTTAAATTTATCACTGGAGGAAAAGATTCGTGCAATAATTTTTAAAGTCGTATTTAATATTGTTATATTAAATATAAGAATATTTAAAGGTTACATATTTTTAGAGTTTAACTAATGGGTAAATTCTCCTATATGAAATATTGAAGATACAACCTGTAAGATATGTTACAATAAATGACATATCTTCATTATTACCAGATTAAATTACTTTAATCAGCTCATTGTACTGTTTGCACAAGTGAAGATTTTAAGGCTCTTTCTGCGTCTTTTGTTGTAGAGAATGCAGCTCCATGAAGGGAGGCCCAAACAAAAAAGGCATCGCTGTAGAAACCCCAATAAACTAGACGTCAACAGTCTCACTGGGGAAGAACGTGTCCAGCTGATTAACAGAAGAAATGCCAGAAAGGTATTTATATCTTTGCTGTTCTTTTCTATGGATTCAATATTTAAGCGATCTCTAAAACACTGTTCATTATGCAGTATTCTCTAACAGGTCTGGAAATGGGTTAAACCTAGCAGATTTGTGGGGAACGGCGTGGACTATAATTTTATATCTTTGGTTAAGCTGTTGAATGAATAAAGACAGCACTTTACTAGCTGTGCCTGAGCATTGGCACTGCCCAGAACACTACATCCACGGCAGTGGTTCTCCACAGGGGGCGGTTTTGTCCTCCAGGATACTTGGTGATGTCTGGAAACATTTTTGATAGCCACTCAAGAGTAGTGAGGTGGGTGTTGGGGCGGTAGCGGGAGAGGGCAGTGGGAGGATGCTGTTGACCTCTAGTGGGTAGAGGCTGAGGATGCTGATTAACTGTGTACAGTACACAGGACCACCCTTCACACCACAATTCCAAAATGTCTGTAGTGCAAAGGTGGAGAAGCCATGATGAAACGGGACAACTCTCTCTTCACATCCATGACAGATTTATAATATTTATCACTGTGAGTCCTTTTGTTTACAGGTTGGAGGTGCATTTGCTCCTCCTCTGAAAGATTTGTGTAGATTCCTGAAAGAAAATTCAGAATATGGAGTCGCTCCTGAATGGGGAGATGTTGTTAAACAATCTGTGAGTATTTCATAAACACTAAGTCAGATATCATTTAAAAAGTTAGATGCCATTTAATTATATCTCTGAACAATGCCACAAAGAATAATCACAGATGTGGGGAAAGAACTACATAAAAGTCATAATACAGTATTATAAAATTGGGAATATGCTAATAGTTTACCCATATGTTAGAAAACCATGCAAATATTTGAAAAATTGTATCTTAGAGGCACATCTAATGAGAAGGCAGAGAAAGTTCACAGTCTGTTAAATGAGATAGTAGTTCATCTCTTGGAATAGCCAGGCCTAACCATGAGGTCAGTGCTGAGTGAATAATAGCTATTATTTCTGTAGGTGTCCAAACGAAAAGTACAGGTTATACAACTATGTTTAGTGTGATTCCATTTTATTTTAGAAAAGGAGGTGGGGAGAATTGTAGAATTTGTATTTATGTACAAAAGAAAAATGGAAGCACACATCCTGAAACATTTGCAGTGGCTCTCTCTGAATGGTGGAGTTGCAGATGCGATGTTCTTTTTCTTTGCATACTTTTGTTGTCTTGTTTTCTGCTGTGGAGCCTAGTGCTTATATAAAGAGGACAAATAAGTTGTTCCATTCAAGACAAAATTTAAAAACAATCCCATGAGATGACTTCAAACCATTGTCTAGAACTGAACCGTCACAGATGGTAGCCTCTAGGCCCGTGTGGCTATGGAGCATTTGAAATATGACGAGTCTGAATTAAAATGTGTTGTAAGAGTAAAACACTGGCTTTGGATTTTGAAGACTTGGTTTAGAAAAAAGAAATCTCATAATTCTCACAGATTACATATTAAACTGATATTTTGCTTATATTATGTTAAATAGATTATATTAAAACTAATGTCACCTATTTCTATTTTGCCTTTTAATGTTGCTACTAGAAAATTTAAAATTGCTTATGTAACTTAAATTATCTTTCTGTTGGACAATGCTGGTCTGGAGCTACTAAACTCCTAAAACTTCTAGGATTTTTGAGTCCGAGAAAGTCAGGGAGAATAATAAGAAAGTAGTATAGATTATTCAGCATTGTCCTGGACTTGACGCTTCCCAGTCTGCAGGTGCTGCTGCAGTTTTGAGCCAAGGGATTTTCCCCCTGTTGAGTATCCTTTTCAGCTTTGCTGTGCCCCTAATTCCCAAAGAGATAGTAAAAAAAAATCATATGAAGCATCTCTTTAACCTTAACCTCCCACTCACTTCCTCTGTCCTTTCCTTATTGTTATTCCAGATTAGAAGAAGGGCACTTCTTTAGTCTTCCAGAACAGTTCCTGACATAAAGCATGTAAGGGTGTAGGGAGTAACCCTCAAGAAACAATTTCTTTGGACTTTCCATTTTCTGGAATTATTCTACAAATGAATGTGTCCCCATATAGAGGAAAGCTAGAAGCCTCTATGCTCTCTTATGATAAATGAGAGGTGGAAGAGCTGTTTCAAACCACTAAAAATAGTAAGAAATTAGGGGATCTCTTGCATGATTGATTTTGCTATGCATACAAAGTTTATTAATAATTATCTATTTTTAATAGGTTACTTGTATCACAAGATAATAGCTATTGATTTTAATATAGCTGTTATTAATGATTTTCTTTTTCAGGGATTTCTTCCAGAAAGTATGTACGAACGTATTCTCACTGGCCCTGTTGTGAGAGAGGAAGTAAGCAGGCGAGGGAGACGGCCTAAAAGTGGAATTGCGAAGGCCACAGCCGCGGCGGCGGCTGCCAATGCCACCAGTGTTGCAGGCAGTCCTTTGTTAGCCAATGGATTACTTCCAGGTATGGATCTCACAACTCTTCAGGCCTTACAACAAAACCTACAAAACTTGCAGTCACTGCAAGTAACCGCAGGGCTGATGGGAATGCCTGCCGGCCTTTCTTCTGGAGGAGAAGCTAAAAACGTGGCCGCCATGTTCCCCATGCTGCTGTCAGGAATGCCTGGATTACCAAATCTGTTGGGCATGGGCGGACTCTTGACAAAGCCTGCAGAATCTGGAACAGAAGAGAAAAAGGGAAATGACTGTAAGGAGCTAGAAGGAAAAAAAGAAAGGACAGAGAGCCAAAATTCAGAGAATGGTGGAGAAAACTCTGTGTCAAGTTCTCCTTCAACATCCTCTACTGCTGCATTAAATGCAGCTGCAGCTGCCAACTCCCTAGCTCTTAACCCACTGCTACTATCTAATATACTCTATCCAGGGCTTCTCACTCCAGGCCTTAATCTTCATATTCCAGCTTTGTCCCAGTCCAATACTTTTGATGTACAGAAAAGCAAGAGCAGTGACTTAGGCTCGTCTAAGTCTGTGGAAGTAAAGGAAGAAGAATCCAGAGTTAGCGATCAGGAAGACAAAGGGGGAACCGAGCCGAGTCCTCTCAATGAAAACAGCACAGATGAGGGTTCAGAGAAAGCCGATGCTTCCTCTGGATCTGACAGTACCTCGTCGTCATCCGAGGACTCAGATTCTAGTAACGAAGACTGATTCCTAGACGATGCTTAAATTATGAACTTGTTTTGGATTTTTTTTTCTTTAATCATTCATTGTAAATACCCCAGTGTGGAGTGCATCCATAACTTACTGACCGAACATTTCAGTTATTTGTTTAGAAGTGCAAACTGCTATCAGAGACATTTTGCATGTAATATTTCTTAAGGTTCATAAGTTTTTGAACTCGTATGTACTATCAACTACATAAAGGTGTAAAATTACAACAAAAGGCATTATAATTTTGTTGGGGGTTAATTTTATGAAAATTATGCTCAGTAAGAGTTGTATATTTAATATATTTGCAGTGAACACAGAATACTTTATGCATATTACTGATTTAATTTGAATATAGTTTTACAGCCTCCTTGACACCTATAATTTACAGATCAAAACTCAGCAATAATTTGGGCAGCTAATGAATGTCATGAAAGCTGTAGAATCTACATCACCATTCATTGCTTTAATTACATGAAAATGCTCTAGTGTTTTGATGCACTGCTGATGTTTCCAATTCAGGTACAAGTGTGTTTGGAAAAAGAAATAAGTTTCCCAATCAGCCAATTTAACTGGCTACCTGTTACCTCAGCTGAGTTAGTTTAGGAAGTTTACATTCGTTTCTAATTCTATACTTGTTTTCAGGGGTTTTTTAAACACATCCTCTATATCATGTTAATCTGGCAAGAAATATGACTTGCTTTTCGCTGAACTTAACTCTGATATTAGTAAAGTCAAGTCATAAAATAATCCTGTGTCATGTGACTTTGGCACCCTCTAGACATACTTAGTTTTAACTTCACAAAGTCTGGCCTCCCATTAGAAATAATTATATCTCAGATGAGTAATGTCTGCTTCCCAGGGTTCTGAAAAGGCAAACTCATGAAATGCCACTGAAAAGAACTTTCAGCACAGCATACTTCATGTAAAAGGATTGTTCGTTTGCTTTATTTGTGTAGATTCCTAGTTGTGTTTTATGTTATGGTAATATTTCAAAATGAACAGATAACATATGCAAACAGTCTAAATTCATCTTGAGTTTCTTCTAGGTGTAAGCAGACAAAATGTTGCCCAGAATCAGTGTTGGGTGTTCAGTTTATATTAAATATACTGAGTCGCCCATTTTGAAAATGCACTTTGAATAATCTCAAAAAAATACACGCGCTATACCTGTAAACCACAAAATGAAGCCCAAGGCTTCTGCTCAGTTTCTTAGAGCCCTTTATTTACCGTGTAAAATTTGTCTGATACTTGATTTGTGATACAATTTCTCCTTCTAAAGCTGCTATTATTCTGACAAGGTAGAGGTCCAGGTTTATCTGCAAATACATATAAAACAACTGAATTGGATGTAAAATACCACTTATATCCTAAGGAGAGATAAATGTTAGCATTCTTCTGGTACTTGAATAAGTCAGTGATAAAGTTTGCAAGGGGATACAGTTAGGGTGGAAAATGTACTCCACTTTCACTGGAAAAAAAACTTTCGGTATGTTTTGATGATAGAAATCTATTGCTTTGTCATGAATTAAGCAATTATATTGGATTTTACAAGACATTTAACAGTAAATTGTTTCTGTATGTAAAATAACTAGCCCCTTATTAGAGAGACAGTGTTATATGTACTTACAAAAGTTATGGAAGTTCCATTGGGATGGTATTGATCTTTGTATTTTTCCAAAGTAGTACTTTGAATTGCTAGTCCTTTATGCAATGTCTTAGCAATAGTCACTCTAATTGCCCCTCCAGGAGAAGTGGGCAGTAATTTTTCATCATGAAAACGATATATTATACATTTAGTCACTTCCCTTTGCAGTATTGCACTTTTGTTTAACCAGAGTACACCTTTGAGATAGCCAAAGTTTTTCAAACACAGTACACTTAGGTTGCCGATGGAGTATTTCATCACCATCCATAGCTCCCTTCCCTCACTCTACTTCTACCCACATGATCTTTATTCTTTTCCCCAATTAAAAAAAAGAAAGAAAGATAAGAAAAAGGGGGGGGAAAGCCCTAGATCTTGTCACTAAAATCTAATTTATATCAAATTTATGAGATAAAGTATTTTCCTAATTAATGCTCAAGTGAATTTGGTTAACATCTTAGTGATTCCCTTTCTATGTAGTAAGGTAATTGCAGTTTTAAAAATATTAAGGCTGATATTAACTTTAAACATTCTCTTGGGTTTTGAGACACTTCTATTTATTATTGATTGGGGGAAAGTTATCCAGCTATCAGGTTTTTTAAAAAACAAACAAACATGCAAATATGGTTGTAGAGAGTTAAGGGTTATAAGGAAAAATATCAGTAGAATTACATAATACTAAAGTTGCCGTTGAAAGAATATCCAAGTATGTGTTGGTAGTTACTAAAAGAATTATAGCTGTTATTGCCTTGTATTTATAGTCCTTGTTTCAGGTTTCATGATACAAGTCTTAGTCCAACTTTTCTTTTGGACATTTGCAATATTTACCAGTTGTGTTTTGTGTAGTCTGAATTTGCTTTCTGTAGTTGAGCAAACGTCTTAAAAAGTCATTTGTAATTTATTAAATTACTTTCTATGATGTTCTATAGAGCAAATGGAAGTTTAATTATTTTTTATTAAACATATTCTTTGACTACCCACGATGTCAGCCTCTGTACATGACAAGACTTTTTTTGATTGAATTTTATATAGCTCATTTATCTTCAAAGTTATGAAAGCAACCACAATCCTAAATCTTTAAAAAGAAAGTATACTTGGGAAGAATTTTTAAAGGACAGAATTTGGCAATAATTATATCCACAACATTATTATTTCCTTAAGTTTTCTTCCCCTGGACCTTTAATCCAGAAGGACTCAGATATACCTAACCTTGTAAAGGGGTTCATTTGGAAATCAGTAATTATTTTTTATGTAGTCTTATGACTCTCAATTTATTGCCGTTGTTGGTAGTGTTTTTTGTAAAGATGAAAAAATTCAGCAGTGGAATCTCATGATACACTCATTTAACTTGAACACTTTCAACTATACTTGTATGCTTAGAAAACCTCTTTTTCTTTTTTCGTACAATATAGCATGTAAACACAAGCCAACTACTTCATCTAGTGCTCACCCAGAAGACCAGTAATCCACTCCGATGCTGGAGGAAGAAGTGGCCCTGTTGGATGTTTTTGAGAGAAGATACACTATACACTTATGTGTTCTGTATTTTGTGAGCTCTAGGAGGGAAAAGAGTGAAATATGACTACAGGTAATCTTCACCTTATACAATAAATTGAGACCTTAAGCCCTACATAAATGTAACTACAGTACATAAGCTATTTATTTTTAAGTGCAGGAAAACAGAAAAATATTTATGTCATTCATTAAACCCGACCTGGGATAAAAATACTGTGGGTATAGATTGTCAGTCTTTTTTATATGTATGTTCTATACATGTAGTGGGCTGATTGGTGCCCTACAAAAATTAATGTCAACGAAAAACCTCAGAACGTGACCTTCTTTGAAAATAGTCTTGAGAGATGTAATTAGTTAAGATGCTATCATGATAGATTAGGATGGGCCCTTAATCCAGTGACTGGCATTCTCCTAAGAGAAGACACACAGAGACTCACAGTGACGAAGGTTATGAGACAACCAAAAGAGATTGGAGTGATGCGGCTACAAGCCAAGGAACACCCAGGCTTGCCAGCAACCACCAGATGCTGGGAGAGGCGTGGAACAGATCCTCTTCCGGAGCCTCCAGAAGCAGCCACCCTGCCAGCTAGCCTCCATAACTGTGAGAGACTAAGTTTCTGTTTTAAGCCACCCAGTTTGTGGGCATATGTCCTGGTAGCCCTAGGAAACTAATACATTTTCATATTAAATCAGTATTATATGGGGCATAATATTTACTCTTCTGCCCTTGATAATACTGACCTATGTCAATGAGTATCCTGCAATGTGATTTTTAATATTAATAATTTAGTATTGGCTCATACTGATGTAGTAACTTATTTAACCATGTACTTAAAAATAGACATTTGGGTTTATATATGCATTTTTTTGCATTTATCCCTAATGATTTTCTTAATCCCTAGAAGTGAAAATACTTCCTGTGTTTTTAAGGATTTTGTTTTGCCGAGTTTATAATGATGCCGTTAGTAGCAAATGATACTACCATTAGCAGGGTACATTTTGTGAATGTTGATTTACCCCAAATCCTTACCAATACTGTGTATTGTCCTTTGAAATAACATTTGCCAAATTATTAGGCAAAAATAACATCTTGATGAATTTTTAAATTCTTTTTCTTAGTGAAAAGCAAGATGTGTGTATTACAGAAAATCTGGGGGAGGGGAAGGGAAGTAGGGAAAGCACAAAGTAAACACCCCCCTCCCCCTTAATGCTGTACACTCAGATAATTGTTAACTGTTGGGTCATTTTTCTTTGCAGATACACATTATATAATAATAATAATGGAGTTATACTGTACATACCATTTTGTAACCTTTTTTTTTTCATTTACTATACCATGATTCTCTTTCCATGTCATTAAAGAATCTTCCAAAACATTTTTAAGGATTTTCTTATTCTAACATATAGATGAAGTATAATTTATTTAGGACCAAATTATTGAGCCCCTAAACACACACACCACAGAGGTTTAAGGTCTCTTGTGACACACTCGTATAGCTCCCTGAATTTTTTTTACTAGTATTTACACCTGACAATTACTTGTTCTAGGTCTGCTTTACCCATGGGATCATAAGCTCTGAGGGCAGAGACCATGCTTGTCTTATTCATGACTGTACACTCAGTGCTTTTCACAGTACTTGACATATAGTAGACACAGACTAAACATTTGTTGAATATTTGAACAGATGGATAGATGGCAGACTTTGGCTAAATGAATGAGTGAGTGTGTGATTGTATAATTGCCAAGAACCAAACCTCTTAATGACCAATATTGAGTTTTAATTGATATATAATTGACATTGTACAACATCTTATATAATAAAAGCCTAATACACAAATCAACCGAATGGCGGAACGACCGGTCGCTATGATGGACACTGACCACCAGGGGGCAGACGCTCAACACAGAAGCTGTCCCCTGGTAGTCAGTGTGCTCCCACAGAGGGAACACTGCTCAGCCAGAAGCCGGGCTCAAGGCTGGCGAGCGCAGGGCAGGCTGGAGCCTCTCCCGCCTCTGTGGCAGTGCTAAGGATGTCTGACGGACAGCTTAGGTCCGCTTGGCCTAAGCCATCAGACATCCCCAAGGGCTCCCGGACTGTGGGCTGAGCCACCCTCCCCCCACCCCCACCCCCAGTGCAGAATTTCGTGCACCTGGG